GACTCTAGAAGGCACTATATCAAATACAGACCATTTACCATTTGAAGTGAGCTGCATTTCAAATTTTATGAATGTATCTTGTTATGTTTGGGCTTTTGAGAATTGAATTGTGATTTTTCTACACTGCAATATTATGTTGAAATTAGTTGTGTGTGTGTGTGTGTGTGTGTGTGTGTGTGTGTGTGTGTGTGTGTGTGTGTGTGTGTGTGTGTGTGTGTGTGTGTGTGTGTGTATGGTCAAGTATGAATGATGTGCACAATATGTGTATATATTTAAAATGTAACGACTGTATGAGATGAAACCCCAGGAAGAATAGTGGCTTTATGTCAGCAGCTAATGGGGATCTTAATAAACATGCAAACAAACAAACAAACAAACAAACAAACAAACATGGCAGTGGAATGGAAATGCTGGTGTCGTCCTCTGCAGGTTATCAAGATCACCCCTTTAGGTCACAGGAAGAGGATCATCGCCTCTCTGGCAGAGAGACCCTACGAAGAGGCTCCCTCCAAATCCCGTCGAATGTCCCCAATTATGGTAAGACTGATGACGGGGGCTGGTAGGGTGGGGTGGGGGTGCAATTTAATATTTGCTGTATAGAGCTTGATAAAAACACAAGTAGTCGACTCCACTGAGGCCGCAGCAGCGTCAGTGCCACTTTCAACCAGTGATGTGCAGAAATCTTCTGTCAGCCTTAAATAGGCTGATACATTAGATATGCTTAATGTGCACAATTAGAGGGGTAGCTCTGCTCATTCTCTGTATAACATTTAATTAGTGTCACACAAATGTTCAGAATTCTTTATACAAATATAAATATAGGTGTAAATATATATATGTGTGTAAAAATGGAATTGTATTTGTTAAGATTGCCACTTCATTAGTGGTTTGGCCTGAACACACCGGTTAACCCCACAGTGAAAGCTCTAATTCTCAGCCACAATACTTCTGTTTAAATTTGGAACGTGGCTTCATTTAATTGTATTCACAACAGTCAAACACCAAAGGCGGATTCTTAGGCAGATTAAACGGAGCTGAAAAAAGGCGAGATTCTTTGTGGAAGAGCCTCTTTTAGGCTCGGGTGTGTGGATCAGGGGAGCTAGCGCTGCCAAAGCGTTAATCTGGACTTGTCTTCTGTGTTTGTACGTGTGTGTGACAGTTCCACGACCTCCTGTCACAGACCACGTCACCCCTCGGTCAGATGGACCCTTACACCAGTCGCTCCATGGACATGCTGCTCCCACTGACCGAGTCGGACCGGAGGCGAAGAGGAGTCGACCAGGACTGCAGCGTTTCTCTGCGGTCTTATAACGAGAGGCCGCGTTCTGTAGTGAGTCCAATAGAACGAAAAACTCCCAAAGAAGTTTGATTTTCTATGAATTAACTGCAGCAAACTGGGGAAGGGTGCTGGATGGGGGGTTTTCTTCTCAGAGACAGAGCGGCTGGGCTTCTGCTCCGTTGAACACATTGGTATAATTAGTGAGCAGAGTCACTCAACCACAGCTGAATTTAACCAAGAGCTGTGGATAAATTAGAGGAGGCTTTAAATTCGCTCAAAGAACGTTTGTTTTTCTTTTACCCCCCATCAAATTCCACGGCTTGTTTGAATTTATCGAACTCAAAATTTTTCAAATATTTCTTGCTCGTAAAGTCAAAATAAGAAGTGAAAGCAATGCTTTAAATCCCACCACAGACTCTAAGACTGCAACTCATGACATATTAAGGGTATTTTTAAGTTTAGCAGGCTAAGCCCAGTCAATCGTCCCCCAGGGCTTCCTGATTTGGATGGATTCATTCAAGTTTCATTATGTCAGAACATGGAAATACATCAGATAAAATAAAGCCACATTCGGTGCAGTGAACTCTTCTGGAGATCTGCACGCTGTTAGCTCAACATTTCTGCTAACACGACGAATAACCTGTTTATTATTTCATTATTTGGATTGAATCACTCTATTTAATTATAACTCTTCCCTACAGCTAGCCTAGAGCTTCACTGGCTGTCACAAAGGCCTTGTTAAACCAAACCGATGAATAATCGTGATTAAACTTTAACATTTGCTAAACGGTCAAACTTAAGCGCTAAAAGTCAGACTGTCTGGTTTGTGACTCGCTGAGGTCAAAAAGAAAAGCACAAATGAATTTTTGTTGTTGTTTTTAAATGTTTGGTGAGGCTGACATCTTAAATCAATGCATTTGCCTCAGCCTTAGTATGTTGTTATCATAAGTACATTTCACTCTGACAAGTGATTTATGAAAGAGCTGAGCACATCTTGCACTGACCTGAGGGCACCACTCGCATGAATATTTATAAGCCTACTAGCATATCAAAAATGAATTACTATAAAGTGCTGACCAGACAGACTCGCGGTGCTTTCACACTAATATGCAGCAGTTAGAGCTCTTTTACTTCACCAGTTTGACAGAGACACACATTAGGATCTGGACTCAAACAAGCTGCAAATTTTTCATTCATTGCTCAAAGCGGCACAAATAAAACTGTTTCTCTTACCTGGTCGCGGTGAGATGTGAATGTGTGAAAAGGCGGGGTTATTTTACTTTTGCATCATTGCAGGATAGACACAGCGATCGACACAAGGAGTCTCGTTTGAACCTCCGGCCGCCGAGCCACTCTGCCACGTACGCCACGGTGTCCGCCTGGCATCACCAGCCTGAGAAACTCATCCTGGACTCCTGCAGGTACGAGGCAACAGTAAGTATCCTTTACTGTCTTCAGCACGCACCAAGACATACTCTTCCCGTTCTGGTCACTTGAATAAAAACAACAAAAAGGAGATGTGCTGGTTGATGTGCATCCGTGTCAAAGATGTGCTTTTTCCTCCCAGTACCTGGGGTCAATGATAATCAGGGATCTACGAGGAATCGAATCCACACAAGATGCCTGCGCTAAAATTAGGGTGAGTACTCGAAAAAAAAATCTTTCATTTCCATTTTGTTTTCCTTGTTTTTACCTTCAAAGAACAAACTATTTAAAATTTTTGTTGATTAAAGTTAAAATCTGATAAGTCGTCACACACTGGTGAAATGACATATTTGCATTGGTCCATCCCCTGGGGGAGCGGTGAGCTGCAGACACGGTTGCGCTCGGGAACTATTAGGTGGTTTAGTCCCCTAATCCAACCCCTTAATGCTGAGTGTCAAGCAGGGAGGCACTGGTCCCATTTTTAAGTCTCTGTTATGACCTGACCATGGATTTGAACCCACAATCTCCCAGTCCAAGGGCGGACACTCATTCCACTAAGCTACTGAGCTGCTTAATCAATGAAACCCAGAAAATAAAATTGACAAATTAATTTTCTTTTTTTATATCACGATGATTTCCAGGAACCTTAATCGGCATTTTTCTACTGCTTCTTTGTTTTAGAAATCAAAGGACTCAAAAAAGGGTCCAGTTGTCATTCTTGCCGTCACCTATAGAGGTGTCAGGTTCATTGATGCAGCCACAAAGGTAAGAAAATGTCTTTATCTGTGATTTTTTAATCAAACACTTTTCTGTTTAAGCTTTTGTTCACCGCGTTTCCTCCTCTAACAGACCATCGTTGCAGAGCATGAAATCAGAAACATCTCATGTGCAGCCCAGGACCCAGATGACCTGTGCACGTTTGCTTACATCACCAAGGATTCGAAGAGCGGCCATCACTTTTGTCACGTCTTCAGCACCGTGGAAGTGGTGTGTAAACAAACACTCGAGCTGTGATTTTTGTCAGTAAATAATTTATAAAAATCACTTTCCTTTGTGAGTTATCAGCTACCCTGCAGTTAGAGTCGTACGCAGGCGGCCCGTTGGAAATGAAGGTCTGGGTAGGCTAATCAGATGGCTTGATTTGAGTTCTGCTCCCGGTGTGCGTTCAGTTGTCCGTGCACAGATTGTGCTGCGATGTGTGTCTTGGCGCTTGCGAAAAGGTCAACAGCAATCATTTATCTTTTTCAGATCTGGGAGCGACATGGTGCCGCCTAAATGGCAGGAAATTGTTTTAACTGAACATGTATTACTGAAAGTTGTTGATAAGCCAAAATAAAAAGAAATAGCCATGTATATAAATCCTGAAGGAAACTGGAGCTTTTATTTTGAAAGGGTATCATCTTTAAACAAGAACCAGTGGCATTAGCATGATGAGGCTCATTTTTCCTTCCTTTTTTTTCTTAAAAAGCTGCAGTTTGTAAAAAGTGTATTCAGGAATGATTCAGAGTTTTTCCTCACAAGACAAGTTGGTTCAGGAACACCTTCACGCTCTTTCTTCTTCCCAGGAACTTTATGCAGATTTAAAACTCTCCTGAGCCGACAGATGAACATTCCAGACATATCCAGGGAGGAATTTTTAGAAATGCTATCATCATCAGTTTCAGGAACTAGACACAACAAATAAACCTGGTTTTTCTGTGCTTTACTTTTATCAGCTAAACTGCATTTATTAGCAGTGCAACCAGTGGTTTCACATGCTAAAGCTAAATTATTAGAATTTGCACCCACTCGTTCACCTTGGTTTACAATGAATGAGATTATTGATGGAAACAACACACTTGCACAGATTTATAAGATTTCCTTTTTTTGTTTTAGCCCTGAACCTGCAGAGTTCGCACTGCAAGTTTAGTTTAAGTTAAAGGATATGTTGCATTTTCTTGAGTCATGTGTTAAAATGACTCTTTACAGTAGGGGTCCCCAATCCTGGTCCCGGAGGGCCGATATCCTGCATGTTTTAGTTTGAACTCTGTTTCAACACACCTGATTTCAATCAGCAGGTGATTAACAGGCTTCTGCAGAGCCTGATGAGCTGCTGCACAGGTGTTTCAACCACTGCATCAAGTCTGTTGGAGCAGAAAAACCACAAAACCTGCTGGATACCGGCCCTCCAGGACCAGGATTGGGGACCCCTGCTTTACAGAGTTAACGCTTCTTTCTGGAGTATTTCTCTTATCTGATGGCACCATCTAGTGGCTGACAAGCATATCACACAAAAAGTCTATTGCTGTTTTTTTAAGATGGCAACTTCACGTTTCTGTTTATGTGCTTCTGTAGCCGACAAACAGAGCTAAAGCACATCGTTTTATGAGTATTGTTCTCATGTCATGTTGTGTCATGTCAAACATTTATATTTAGAGACTTGCTTGTCCGTGAAAAGTTCATCAACTCTGCATCAGCCGAGGTATTCCTTAAATTTGAAGCAAGTAAGCGGTAGTCTAACGCTATTCAATCAATCAATCAATCAATCAATCAATCAATCAATCAATCAATTAATCAATCAATCAATCAATCAATCAATCAATCAATTAAAGCTTTATTTATAAAGCGCCTTCCGCAACCCTGTCAGGAAGCCCAAAGCGCTGAACATGGTTCAGCTGTTGGTAAATATATTGAATAAATCAAAAATAAAAGCAATTCAAATTACAAAATAGGTGAAACATTCTGGTAAAGGACAAATGTGTAAAACAATGGACTGAGTCAACCAATGACAACTGTGAAATAAATTCAACATAAAAGAGGGTCAAAATCAAACATGTTCTGGAAACGCCAAGCGGAGGAGGTGTGTTTTTAGGCGACTCTTAAAGACTGGCAGAGATGGGGACAGCCTAACTGAGGGTGGCAACTGGTTCCAGAGTGACGGTGCTAGGACTGAGAAAGCCCGGTCCCCGCGAGTACGACACCTAGAACGAGGGACAGCGAGCAGGCCATTGGTTAGCATGTGCTAACCAATGGCAGGCTATTGGTTAGTTCTGGTCGGCACTCAGTTTCCTATTGCACAGAGCTCTGCAGGGCAGGTGGCGTGCTTAGCAAAATAAAAATAAAGATGTGTTGCTTACATTACATCAAAGTATGTGATGAGATAATCACTTTTACGGATTTCTGACAAATCATACATCATTTCTGAAAGGGGAAAACTCTGGAAAACAGCTTTACTTAAAGGCCTCCCAGCCCCTATCACATCCTGTGGCCAAAATATTCCACTTGCAACTTCAGCTTGGTGAGTCGCTTTGTTTGAAAAAAAAAATGGAGATGACATACCTGGCGCTGCAGTCTGCTTTCAGCCTGTTTCCTGCATATTTTAGATCATGAACACAGCTGATTTGTTTAATTTAGGGATGAACCACTACTGTAGACACTAATGAAGGCTGGAGAGAAATTTCAGCTGTTAGATTAAGATGTTAAAAAGATGCATGCACAGTGTGGAGTTAGGTTTCGCTTTCGTTTCTACAAACAGAGACAAGGGGGTGCCAAAAGCTAGCCAAACTGCCCAGTTCCCCTTTAAAATCTACTTGTTCTAGGGTCTTTATCTCAATTTCAGTGTCTTTCACTGCACACAGATACAGACCTACGAGATCATCCTCACGCTGGGGCAGGCATTCGAAGTGGCGTACCAAATGGCAGTTCAGTCCAGGGCGAGGCAGTATGTGCCCCCGTCCTCTCTGGTCTCGGAGTTTGTAGACACCAAAAGCACCCGTCCCGTCTCTCAGTCATGGAGCAGCGTGAGAAGATCGGCGGTGAGTATCTGCTGAGTGTTTGTGTCCTTCTTTAATAACTGGTGAAGAAGTCACAATTCAGAAAACGAACACAGACCTCATGACAGACTTTCCGTCCTCTGCTGAATCCCCACCGGACAACCTACAAAGGCAAACTTGCTGTGTGTGTGAAGTAGTAAGTGATGAGTCATTACTTTGCTACCAGCTTCATCTCACACACCCGACAGCATTTAGAGTCACCCCGAATCGAGGGGTGGGGGTGGGGGGTTCTATTTGTGCATATGCGAGGAAAAAGAAGGGAAGAAAACGTGATGAATGAAAGGTTTATTTGTTGCTTACAGGCGGATGAGTGATTTGTTCTGGGCCTTTTCTAAGGGCTCTGCGCCCACGCTCGAACCGACCCGCTGCTCCCTCTCCCCTGATTGAGTGTGCTGCGTAAATGCTCGCATGGATCCTCGAGGGCGCATTGATGTATTGACCTTTCAGGCAGCATATAATAGGCATTCAGTGATCACTGTCACCTGAGAGAGCTGCACAGCCAGGAGCGTGTTTACTGCAGGAGCGACTGCTAATGCGGGTACACAAATCATTTTGTTTTACTAGCTGCCCGTTACGATAATTTATAGAGTAATCACACATCTGCATAACGAGCCTGGCTCGGTGCTTGAGTTTCAGACGGAAGGAGGACTGATTTCTGTCGTCTGCATTTAGTTTCTCTGCTTTTTCGTTGCAACGCCGTTCAAAGATAAAATAAGCTTTTTTACAAGGTTTTTCCCAAGGAACTAATAACCATCTGCTCAGCCTCGGCCCATGTAATTACCGGTGTCACACTTTATATGCTTTAGGTTTCTCCTTCACGGCCACCTTTTTTGCTAACTAACACAACACCTGATCCTAGCACATTTTATTAACTGCAGTAAACAATTAATTAAGTCAACACTGCCCCCCCCCACGAGTGTTATTAAGATGCTCTCTCTCTCGCATTCAGCTGAGCCGGTTTAGACCAGGAAAGAGGTCCCAAATAAGATGGTATATGATAGCTGCAAGCACGAATGGCTTAGTGAGAAAATAATTTAGGTCCAAAGCAAACTGTCAACCCCTCACACACACATGCACGAGCTAATGCTGCAAACATGGAAGTGGAGGGAGCTCATGATGATTCTAAGATGATCTGGAAATTAAATGGACAAAAATGAATGCAAAGCATCAGAAATAGATAAAAAAATGTTTTGATTGACGAGACAAACTTGTCACAAAAGGATCAAGTCAAAGAAGTTAAATGCAAGCACAGATACAGCTAATCCATCCTGGTTTATAATCTTTGTGTGTTTATGGATTTTTACTCGTTTTCCAGCCATGTAGGGAGCTCCTTTCTTTTATTTATTTATTTTTTCAAGCAAGCACAAATGCTTGAGAAGTCCCACTCTGCTCCACCCTTATAACTGCCACGTGCACACCACCTCTGCCTGTATAGAAATCCACAGCTCCAGAGATCTGAGACGATTTTGGATGAAACATCCAGACTAAGAAGTGCTGCTACTGGATTTCTGCACAGGCTCGTTTTTTAGTGTGGTTAAATGCTCTGTCCTTCCTCCCTGTGTCCTCTTCTTTAACATGTCTTTGTTCTTGTCTTTCTGGTCCTCCTGCTTCCCAGGGTGCCCCTCTGCTCGAATGCCGCTGCTGTCACTGTCACACGTGTACTACCCACCGTCCTTCCTTCTTACCGTTGCACTCTGTTAGCCCTGGAATCCAGGTCCTTTTCTTTCCTTTCCTCTATGCAGTCCTCACCCATCAGACATCCATTCTCACACCAAAAACCCTCCCGTATCCAGTACTTTTTCTTTTCTTTTTTCATTTCTCGGGATGCTGCTGTGCACTTTGACTCTTTGTTTTGTGGTTTTGAAGTCCCCTCCCCTCCAGCCCTAACCATAAACCTCCCCATCCCTTTTTACCTTCGCATCACTCATCTTCATCTTGCATTTGGGACTTGGAAAATGCAGTTAGGGGAACGTTTTGTGGTTAAACACGTTTTCATGGTAGAAGGGCTTTCTTGATGTGATGTACAGTCTCCTGGCTGAAAGGTTAGGGAGGGTTTAATCCACTGCAACAGTAACGTGACGGCTGACGTCTCTGTTGGATGGCTGTAAAGGCTTTTATGCGTATTCGGTTTCAGGCTCAGAAATAACAAATGCTTACCTCAGATTTTATTTAGAACAATTCAAAAGTAACACCTGAGTAAATCCATAAGTTGTGTCGTGTGGAGTTACTGCTGCATTTGGAGGACTAATCAGCTTGTTTCTGGTGGTATTTGCGGCTACATGCTGATGGTTACACAGACAGAGTATTTTTCCTGTCAAACATCACCCATTGTTGTGGATTGAGCCCTCAGTTGTCTGTGATTGTAACCTGATCACTGGGCTGTGAGCTGAGGACTTGTCAGTGTGGTGCGATGGCCTCCACCGCCGCACATCTCACACCCTCCTCTCGTCCCTCCTCCCTCCCTCCCCCCTCCGGCAGATCGACCCCCTGGAGATGGATGCTGACATGCAGTCCCTGGGCAGCACCACCTGGCTCTGCGACCAGCGGGACTCCAACAGGCGTCCCGTCAGCACCAAGTACGAGACCACCATATTCTGAGGCCGGATCCCCACAGCCGCCCCCACTGCACCCCCTTCGTACTTTCCTCTACCCTTGCATCCGGCTCTCTCTATTCATGTCTTTCTCTCACAGACACACACACACACACACACACACACACACACACACACACACACACACACACACACACACACACACACACACACACACACACACACACACACACACACACACACACACACATACTCATGTGAGCCCCGTGCCTTCTCACTGTGATGGTATAGCATCCCTCAGGGCTGCCTACTCCTGCACCTTCCTTTGCCCTGCCCAGCGACCCACACCAACCTCATGCCATGACAAACGCTCCTGCAGCTCTTCGGAGCTCCCCCAGCGTCCCTGGCAGCCTCCCTCGCCTGTTGCTGCTGCAGCCAATAGCGGAGCCCTGGAACGGATGATCCTGGACTGATCTCATTTTACAGTGGTCCTGCCCTCTCAACCAAACTGCCTCTTCCTCCTCATCCTCCTCTTCCTGACAACTTGCATCTGCCTCCAAATCCCCGATTGCTCCCAGAGGTTTCCTCTTTATTATTATTCTTTCACTTTCAGTACATTTTTTCCTCTTTATTTTCTCCACAGGCAAAACAAGTATGGTTTATTTTATTTATCTTGTTTTGTACCTAGACCTTAACTGGCTTAGGTCCAGGTACTTTTTAGAAAGATTTGTGTGACGCTAAATCTCTGAGTTGCAAATTTTAATGAACAATTTGACATTTTGGGAAATATAATATACTTCTCTTGTAGATACTTTGATTAGATCATTGACAACCACTCTAAAATTGATTGTAATCCCCTACTATTAGTTTTTGTTCCATTTCTGTCTAAAAATGTTAAAAATGTATTTAATTTGGTTAATCTGTCGCCAGAAGGGATGCTCTTGCTATACAATAGAAACAATGCCATATTTTTATTTAAAGAGTCTTAATTGATCTAATTTGTCTAATCCAATGTAAAAAACTCACTCACACGAAGCTCAAGTCCTGCACATTGGTCATGCGTCAGAATCCACCCAACAGCCCAGGCCTGAAACAAATCTGAAGTTGTGTAGCAAAAAATAAAAATGTAGTTTCTGCTCCCTTTTTTCAGACTAACAGTGAGCAATTTCCTGCTCCTCCACCCTGCTGGTTGAAAGTGGAATTACAACCACCCCAAACAGCCCTGCTGCCACCTGCTGTAGCTAGTGCTAACAACAAGCTAACGCTAACATGAGCCAAAAAATACTAAATAAACTACTAAGTTAAAAGATCCACACTGTTGGACAAAAAACATTACTTACAAGTCCAGTTGCAACAAAGCGAGGTCACCATCAGTCCGTGTTTTTGTATCCTCTTTTCGCTCCTTCAAACTATAGTCTGCACCGATGTTCACTGTGGTTTTAGATTTTTGCTTTGCCTCCAACGACATTACTCTCTTGCTTTTGCTTTCAGGCTCCATCATAATGTCAAAAGAAAAAGCATTTTTTTTTCTTTTTCTTCTTCTTTTGCTTTTTGTTGAGAATTGGCAAACTGAAAATGCTAATCGCTAGCACAACAGCTAACAGCCATTAAGCAGGTAAAGAGTGCCCCCTAGGACACCTACCGACTCCACAAACTATCTACTGTAGTGCGGTATCTGGTCAGCAGAGTGGTGTCAAATATTAAACTGGTCAGTTTCTAACTCAACAATCACTGAAATCAATGTTCTAAAATGATCTATTGTAAGGAAGATTGTGGGTGAAATGCTGGCTACACAGACACAAAATCCCCATGAAAAACCTGTCAAGTGTGTTAATTTGGCCAGATATATTCAGAATTGTTACTTCTAATTAAACGTTGAAACACATAAGTGGTACCAGCTTGAACTGCGCATGTTTTTACTTGAGTTTCATAACTAGAGAGGTACTATTTTTTCTGTAAATTTAGATTCAGTGCCAGAACATCTATTTCCCCAAATGTTGACTTCTTCCTTTAACGTTTCTCACAGACTGAAGCTAAAGTTAAACTGTGTTTACATCTTAAAATATCTATTTCATAGATTTTAATTTGACTACTTTCATTTGTTTTGCTTGAAGACAGTTACACCTTTTTTTTCTTTTCTCCATTTGTAGTCTATCCTGCCTTACCAGGCATCTACCACTGTGAGGCACTATGAGGAGGCTGTTTTGCTAGCAAAGGGATGCAAGATGGACAATAAATCAATGAAAGACAAAACAGCAACATGCAGCAAACAACATTTTTTTACTCATTTGTACAGTACTCATAGTGAAACCACTTTGGATCGGTCACTAACCTGTCACTGATGTCTAAACACAAAGCAGACCGAGAACTGAGATACACTTGAGGACGACTTTCCTACACGTTATTGAGGATGACAGCCTTACATCATTGCAATTATCTATAATCAACAACAACAAAAATCCTATCTGCCCCTAATGAACTCCACCAACTGCACGTGTCCAACCTGCTTCTAAAAGACTACAACAAAAGATTTCCTGGTGTATCAGAGTGGCTGAAAGGATGTTGGTTTAACGATGGTTTAGGATTGTTCTGATGAGTCTTTGCTCTGGCCTTGTGCTGCCCAGTGCCTGTCAGCATTAACGGTAGCGCCGAGAGCCTGCAAGTCCTCTTTTTATCCATTATAGGGAAACAGCACTGTGGCTCAGAAAAGAAAAAAAAACAGCACTGTCCCTTTTCAAACGCTGTTTTCATACAGTGCAAAGGAGATATTGCATTTTGTGATACTTTTTGATAGAAGGGAGCAACCTGAACCACTTTGGGGCAGACTGGTTAGGAACTGATTATAGTTATTCCAACTTTATTACAACCAGAAGTTTAAAAATACACAAAAAAGTGAACAAAAGGAATATATTGACATCAGTTCCATGTTTCACTTACGTTTGTATCCTACACCTGAACACGATTATTTTAACTAAAGTGTATTAACGAGCCTCCAGCACAGTTTGGTGCACATTCCCGCTGTAGCATGATTACATACACATTACACAGATTTAGAATTAGGTGTGAAGTACGCCACTTCAAAAGAATGACTGAAAAGATTTAATTCCACCTCACTGGAAAAGCCAGATCTGAGCGTTGTTCCTGTGCCATGCTCATGTGACATTTTTGTTGTTTATTTTTAAATAATCATTTTTAAAAGTATTTTCCTCCTGCACTGTGATTCAAAAATGCTTTATGTGGAGTCCAACACATACGTGTGTGTGTGTGTGTTCTCCCTCCTGTGCACTACCTGGCGTGCGTGCTGTATGCTTTGTTTGTCTGTCCTCGTGGAAGTTTGGACTGTTACGCCGCCGGCCGCTGTCCTCGTCTGTGTTTGCTGCAGGAGGAGTTGGGGACCGAGCTCCTCTCCAAAGACAGTGTGTCTGTAGACTGTTTAGACGTACTGCTCTGTGGCCGTGTCATCGCCACTGCTCTGACTTTTATCTGTTAGCTTCCACCGATGATGCATGTTGGCAGTTTTTTTGTGTTTCTGTCCCCTCTGATGCACTCGGCCTGAGCAGTCTCCCCAGCAGCGTCTCCTCTCACTCATCTGCCATTTGCCTTTTATGTTTCCTCTCTCTGTTTACATGCTAATTCTCCCGTTCACCCCCCATCCCATCCGTTCGGCCATTGTTCTTACCGCCAACATTTTGTCACATTCCTCCATTTTGTGTGTCACCAGGAGAACCTGCTCTAGTATGGATGCATAATATAAAAGCATTACATTTTTAATGAACAGCAGCTATTTAAAGCAAGTTTTTTGGTGGCATGTTACGACTGTGCATGTACCAGTCTTTTTTAACATCCGTGTTTTCCTTGTGTAGCTCACCCCGACGTTCAAGTTTCCGGATACCAAGCTGTGAGTTGAAGGGGAGCAGCCGAGTCGAGCGTGTGTTTGTGTAATTTTAAGTTAGTGTGTAAAGAAGAGGAAACATCACATAAATAAAGATTTAAAAAAAGGCAGAGAGAGAGAGAGAGAGGGACTGTGAGGTAAGCTTGTGCGGCGTGCAGGGCCAACCAGCACTTCTGACATTTAAATCTCACTCTGTCTATGTTTTTGCTCCTTCACTGATCCTGAGATGAATCCACTCACAGTCCAAAGATAACTTGTGGTCCCACTTCACTGACTAGACTGGACCTGTATATCACTCCTGTCTTGAGAAAAGGTCAAACAGAAAGGTCAGGTCTATTTCCCCGGCCTTCACGTGAGCTTGTCATGTAGGAGGTGTTGTGTGTAGACCACTATAGACCCTTACTAATATAAAATCATTAACAAGCATTTCTATTGATTCAGGTCTACTGAAAACGGAAACAGTGTGATGTGCTGAAGGGTAACAAAATGTACCAGCATTCAATACTTTGCCCACATTTGTGGACGGAGAAAATTTGTGATGGAAAAATGTGATACTGTTTCAAAACTTCAAAGCAATATTATATTAATGACATTAAATAATACAAAGACAAAACAATCCCTGTCATATCTGGTGTCAGCATTGATTTACTTTACATGGCTGAGCAGTTAAAAACAGACATATTACACCAGCTGCTTGAAATCAAAAGTGACATAATGGGACGGTAATTATTGTAGAATTGTGCTTTCATTGTTTCTCCCGCTGCACAGATTAGTGGGTGGTGCAACTTCTAATCCAAACAAACGATTAGCCCAGTTTGTGCTTCTCATGCGCTTTACTACTTTCAAGTTGTCGAGCCCAAGTGGATGTTTCAGAAACACGGTGCAGCGCCGCTGCACAGAACGCTCAACCTAAAATCTAAAGGGGATTTCCAACGAGCTCGTCTACAGCAGGTAGCAGGAAGAGATCCATGCCGATTAGTTCTGATGCATTACTTTTTTATATATATATATATATTATAAACACAATGTTACTTTGTGTTTTCCTTGTGCTGTACTAAAACTGTAAAAATGAGTATTTTTGAGTACCTAAACCATTTAAACCTGAGGTGCAAACTGGGTATTTAAGGATCCATGAGATTATTCAAAAACAAGTGGGTTTTTAGGCTTTCTGAACATTTACCTTCTAGTTAATGTGCAGCTTTCATCCCAAGTCACACACAGCAAGATGGATTCATTCATTATTTACACAATGTAGCTGATTTACATAATTAAATCCTGAAACTAAATCGTCCTAAAATTATATTACAGTTCTAAAAGTGTCTTTCTTCAACTTAAAGTGGTCTACAGGTGAATATTATTTATTAATATGATTAAACTCATGATTAACTCATTCACTGCCATTGACGACTAAAATTGTCATTTTAGATCCAACCGTTCACTGCCAATGACGACTAAAGTCGCCATTTGCATGTTTTTACTGTTTGAGCGTCAGGACGAGCCCCCGCGCTGAGAGAACAAACATCTCAGCCCTGAAGCCGATCTTCATCCGCATACGTCACACGTCACGTGATCAGGAAGCAGACCATCCATGTGTTAGGTGATCGTTTTGGGCCGTTCCTGTAAAAAAAGTGAGGCGCGAACCGGAAAAGCATCTGCCGATCACAATTCGACAACAGATTATGAAAGAACGGATAACGCTCGAAACACAGATGTAAGAGGTGAGTCTCCTCTTTGTTTTGGTTGTTTTGGCGTCGACATAATTAGAGGGTGCAATGTTCTGCATTGCATTCCGGTTTTACTGTTTAAAAAAACAGTAAAACCGGTGAGAAACGCTGGCAGCGAAGGCCGTTAGCGATCAGGAAACGGCTGGCAGTGAATGAGTTAAGTTATGATTGTTTAGTGTTATTGCTAAAATCAAGCAAAGTTTAATTAAAAATGAAATCTGGGGTAAAAAGAACATACATTAAATGGTAGGATTAGAGATGTTCTTACCGTTCGCCAGGCGTGCAGATAGGGTGGGGGACTGGGGGAATCTGTCCCCCACAGATTCAGATCGACCCCGATCCGTCCCCCGCACTAAGGCCAGAAAGAAAACAAAATCGGAGGTTATAAGCGCTTGAAGCTCCTTTTTCCAATTACAATAAATGCAGCATGATGTAAACAAACACTAAGTCCAGAGGAGCCAAAGTGGTTGCTGCTGGGATGCAGGATGAAGCGAAAAAGACAAGCAACAATTACTGCGTATTTAAAAAAGACCAACAGTGTAAGTAGGCGGCACCGATCTGTCTGTTTATGCGTGTTGGTTCTTCAGTACGTTGTTATCAGTGCTGGGACTTACTCGTTAAAAATGCCAAAGCCTCATTGCTGACTTTAACAAGTCTCATCTACAAATATGATCCCTCATGAAGTTACTACTTTACACCAGAAGATAGTGGAGATGTGCAATCTTCAGGCTGAGCAAAGTTTTGGAGCTTGAAAAACGCCTCCCGCTGACAAGTTAACAGTCAGAAAGAGGAGGAGATGCTCGCAACATGAAGAGCGCATATATTAGATAAAACGTATAATTGCCAGCAGATCTGGTCTTTGTTGACTGATCACTTTGTCTGGTAATGACTGACTCTGATTATGAAGCAGAATATTGACTCTGATGAAGAAATTCACTCATCCAGCCGGGAAGATTGATGCTGCTGCAGCATCAGACAGCTGGTGCTGCACGAGAGGTGTGTGGAGTTTACAAGCTCCAAACTTTGGGTTTGATGTTGGTTTAACCTTCTTTGGGACGTGATGGATGTAGAAATGATGGTAAAAACACCGCTAATGTGACAGACGTAGCGACAATGTAAAAAAAAGCCGTAAAAAAGAGGACATGCCAATGCGTTAGATATGGAAGTCAAAATGTGCCACATAATCATAAAAAAGTCGAATATAACATTTAAAAAGAGCTTTATATATTTATATATAAATTAAAACTTTCCAAATATAATGAAAATTTCTAAATAACGTAAAAATAAGAAGGAACATCTGTTGGTCAGAGGCTGAAAAGTTTGGGAACCACTGCTTTAAGTGACAAGTGAATATTGTTTTTTAAATATATTTTATGTGCAGTATTTTAGGGCTTTTATGTTTTCTGTAAAGATTGGTTTGCTGAAAATCATTTAATGTTTTGCATAAAGCATGAGGTTTTGGTTAGTAATCGATTGGGAGAATAACAAATGACTGTGTTGATCAGGCAGAGCTTTGATGCCAGCGTTCCATTGCATAATGGCTTCTAACACGTATATAATAGTGTTAGTTTTTTTCGTAAACCATTGGAGGAAACTACACAAACTGACTGAGCTCTAGTTAAGGCTCTCGCAATGGTTTGTGTATGTGTACGTGCGTCGTGCGTGTGTGTGTATGTGCTTGGGGGAGGGTACATTGGAACTTTGACCCCCCAGTTTGAAAATCCTATCTGCGCCCCTGCCGTTCCCGCTACTTTTTAAAAACACCAACTCCGTTTCTTCAGACTTCAGGAACATGGTTCTTGTTCACAAGGCTTCCCTTATACATTTTTCATCCGTTGTCGGCACGTATCTGACGTAATTCCTAACATTTATTTGAACGTACTTAAAGTATCTTTCCGGAGTATTTCTCTTATCCGATGGATTTCTAAAAATCATGTAATTGCTGAAAGGGTGAAACTCCGGATTGTTGATTTAACCGTAAAATATTTAAGTATGTTAGCTAATATAGTGAAGCATTCTTATGGTGAAAAATTAGGCAGTTTTTAGCTGTCTTGGTAATAAACCAACAGGTTAGGTTATTCTCATCTTCGCTGCTCAGCGTCTCCAACAATCTGAGAAAATCACACAACAACAGGCCAAAACTTTCAGAACCCGCACTGAACCACCTGATTGGCTCTCCTTTCTCAGATGGCAGGTCAACAGGTCAGTCACCTAAAGGTTTCCCAACAAGAACAGAACCAGACTCTAAACAGAACATGTGCAACAAATCCTTTGGTCCATTACACTTGGCAGCTCAGCCCTGGCTTCACTTCCTTTTCAGCTGCTCCGCATCGAGAATGTGCGTTACGTGCACCCAGAGGAGTACGCACAGAGGGAGTAGAGAAGGTCAGAGGGCAGTTGGTGGATGGATCAGGATGCAACTATTAAGTACGAGACATTTACAATTGCTCCAGAAAAACACCGCCTCGCCCACCTTTAATGGCAAAAAGATAAATGATTTTTAACTTTAAAACAAAAACAGTATAGAAAATATAAATAAAAGCTGGAATTCAACACATTAAACAATATTCGCCTGTGCATGAACTGGAGGGGATAATGGTTTAAACCTGTGCAGAAAAACAAAAATCCTTTTTGTTCCAGAAAAAAACTAAACATAAACCTTTTGTTTATCTCTGTCTGCTCGATTGTTTCAAATTTAAAAAAAAATTAAAATAACCAGAAAAATTGTTTTTAGCTTAAAAAATAAGTGACAAACAAAACAACACGTTTCTTCACCATATCAGTAATTTAACAACAAAACACATAAATCCAGGGTGCTACACATGTCCATCATAATGGTTAGTTTCACTGACTGCCGAGTTCGTCTCATGTATTTTCATTTGTTTGCTCTGTAATCTGTGCTATTTATATGGTTGTATGGAATATTAAAAGGATTCACTTTGCTTTTTGTTCACAAACAGAACACTGTGTAGCTCCGCACCCCCGTCTAACTTTAACCACAGGAGGAAACACACCTGTTACATGTTTTGGGTTTTAAGCAAAAGGTGCAAATAAAGACGAGTAAAGTAAAATGAATAAAATGTGCTTAATGTCTTTGATCGACCAGAAACATTCAACCCAGCTTCACGGGACAGATTAATATAAAGAATTATTTACAAACATCTTTTATTTGGTTCTTGTTTTCTAATGTTTTGGTCTTTTCTCATGTTTACGTGAGATTTTCGCTCCATAATCTTAATGTTTTGTGTACACAGATTTGAGGGTTAACTGCCTTATGCTTTCACCTGGACGATAAGTCCTGATGTCCTTTCTGGTTCTGAAACTGTAAATGCTAATTAAACACTAGAAAATGAACTAAACTCATTGTTCTGTTTTAAGTCAGATGTCTCGGTTTCTCGTAAATGGTTTCAGCTCACCACATTTACGAGTTAAAAATCACACGCTGATTTCAAATGCTGGCCTGTGCTGAGGTCGCCCTCAGCTTTAGCGCGAGTCCTCCGCAGTCTCAGCCTCTCCTGGCGGGAGCAGATGTTTCCTGAGGATGGTTGCGTAGAATGGACCGTAGACTTGGTCGAAGCGAGCAAATTTGCCCAAAGGCCGTCCCCAGCGCAGTTGACTCGGCTCTCAGCAGCCCGAGGGAAAACGGCAGCTCTGGACTGCTTTTAGCCGGGCCGCCCTGCAGCATGGCCAGGAGGAGGCTCTGAACTCGTTCTCCTGTGGTTGAAAGAAAAAGAGGGAGAAGTCAACGCCACGCAGCAGATAGCAAACATGTTTAACACTCGTTTAAATAAGGTGTGAAAGCAGTTTGTTGGGATTTGTACTTCTCATTTTATGACACATTTTAAAATGACTTGTATTTGAATAGCATCTTCTCAAGGTTCCCCAAGGCGCTTCACAACGCATTCAGTCATTCACACGCTGGTGATGATGAGCTACGGTGTAGCTACAGCTGCCCTGGGGCGCACAGACGGAGGTGCGGCTGCTGAGCACTGGCACCACCAGTCCCTCTGAACACCACCAGCAGGCAAGGTGGGTTAAGTGTCTTGCCCAAGGACACAACAACAGCATTCTCTGGTCGGAGTCGGGATTGAACCTGCAACCTTCTGATTACTGGACAACCCGCTCAACCTCCTGAACTACTGTCGCCCCTTTTAGCGGACGTCCTTTTTCAACATACCTGTAACAGTTTAAAGGTGTGGTTCACTGATTTAATTAATACATGTGCAGCAGTCTCTAGTAGGAATGAATAACGAATGCCTTGTAGGTCATACTAGCAGACATCAGCAACATCAGACGAGAGACTCTTAATTCCTGATATTTAGACATCTCGCGTCTGATTGGCTAACAGCAACGCGGCTCTACCACTGACTCAGTTTGGTTTGCCACATGGATGTTTTATCTCCACAAATAACACAAGCCTGGAGGAGTTCTGCTGTGTGGTGAAGTTGCTAACGCTAATGGTTAGCTTGTATAGCTAAGACGTTCTCTGACATTTCCTGAACGCTAAACCAACAACAGCCTTCCGCGTCGTGAGTCACGATGGGTGAGTCCATGAATGTTAAGTGACAGTGTGATGTAGATCTGTCAGGATTTTCTAATTCTAGAGTTTCACCGTCTTTTTTCTATCAGAAGCTAATGCTGGAGGTAGGTGTAGGAGACTATTTTCATTTGACTGATTATAATCAGAGATAATGAATAAAAAAGTTTAGTAAAAAAGACTATTTATATAAATAAAAATGTAACATTCACTAGAATCCAGCAGCAAATGCCTGGAAACAACTCCTGGCTTCGTGCCTGACCAACAGCAGCAAGAACAGGGTTGTTGTTCTTCCACAGGTCAGTTATTTGTCCTCTCAGCAGATCTTGGTTCTCCTGCAGCAGCGCTCCTCCTCCCTGGGTGCTCAGAGCTTCGGTCACCTGCAGCAGAACCGTCTCACCAAGCTCCAACAGGGCCCTCTTCAGGTCAGCCTTCCTGGAGCACCAGAAACTGATGTTATAAGTAATAACTCATGAATTAAGTCATATGGTCTGATTTTTGCATTGGAGCTATTTAAGTTCATTCAAATATATTTTCTAAAAGGTGATTTGACAGGAATCAACTGAGTTTTATTTAGAAGCCCGAACCACAGAGGGAGCAGGCTTTGATCATTACAGGCTGCTGCTCTACAGTCATCTAATAATCATGACAGAGCTTCTCTTAAACAGAAAGAATGAGGTTAGCTGGATCTGTTCTGACAAGCTAGTTGCATCCTGTCACCTTCAATGGTGTCCTCCTCATACAATACCTGGTCCTCATGACAGTCAGTACATGTATGAGCCCATCCGGCTCTTACCTGGTGTGACTGCCCTCCAGCTGGGCTGTGACGGCCTGCCTGAGTAAACCCGTGCAGGGAGAAAGCAACACCCCTCACACCGATGCCTCCAGGACCAACATCTCAGATCATCCAAACGGGCTCGGTCCAACAGCATAGTCTGTGTGTGGAGAAAGCACAACGGGGTCAGAATTATAAATACGAGGCTATGGAAAGAAAAGTCAAAGGGTTGCATCAGATGTCCTACAGCAGCAGATTCTGGATGTAAGGATGGTTCCTGGAGGAGCTTAATGGATAATGCTGAAATCCAAGCAACACCTGCAGCACATCTGATGTTGATGAGAGAGTATCTGAGTTCATCTGACAGCGCCGTGATGATGCATCTAATAAAGGAGGTTTGGAGCTGCTGTTCTACAAGAACTATAATGTCTTGTCACATGCCTTAACATGCAGCCTGGTGAGGAAAAGTGCACAGAGCAACTGAATATTCCCTCATAATCAATAAAATATCACCCAGTGTAATGAAAGCTGCAGCCGACCTCGGGATATTTCTGGTCCTGCGGGTCCCAGTGGAGCAGACGCATGTAAGCCCGGTTAAGGACGGCGGTGGGGCTGAGGAGTCCTGGGCTGTCACGCTGAGCTCTGAACCCCGACACCTCATCTGATGCTGCTGCCTGAAGCCAAGCTGTCGTGTTATTGAAGCTGAAGGGAAAACCAACACTAGAAATACACACTTAAATGTTTTAAATCACACAAGTAATTATGTGTATATCAGAAGAGTGTGCTTTAAAACTGTGAACGAGTGATTACTTCAGATCCTCGTGGGTGTTGATGGAATATGAAAATAAAACAGTCAAATTAAATTCTGAATTCAGGTTGAGATCATTTCTCAGAAATGTTGTGTTTATATTTATTGCTATTGTCATTTTCTATTTTCAGTCATAAACAATTATAACCATTAGAAATAACAAGTAGTGAGCCTGCTGATGGGAACCAGCGTGCTGCAGCAACAAAAAAAGAGATATTCATCAAAGAGCTGCATGCAGACATGGATTTCAATGTAATGCTTATTGCATCATGTCCTTTAATTTGATTCTCTCTCTCTCTCTCTCTGTGTGTGTGTGTGTGTGTGTGTGTGTGTGTGTGTGTGTGTGTGTGTGTGTGTGTGTGTGTGTGTGTGTGTTCTGGACAATGGGTTAAACAGAAGTTAAACATGTTTTATAAATAAAGTTTGAAGGATTTAGTGAAAGTTCTTGACATTAAAGCATCACTGGAAGCATATTATTTGGAAGGTTAAAATAAAAAGATCATAAACTTCCTTAGACAAAGTTACCCATATCATCTGCATATATTACTGCAGCTGCATAGTTTGAAGCTAAAGGCTGAAACAAGGATTAAACGTCTCTCCTCACCTGACTGTTTGTCCAGAATCTGCTGGAATTTAATCCTCTCGAACTGCACAGTCTGTTGCAGGAGATGAGGCCTCAGGCTCTGGATGGGAAAGATCCATTAACCCCAAAACTTGGAAGATTGCCCTGCAGGAAGCAACAAGGGAATTATTCTGATTACAGGCTTGTGGTCCCTTACAGGACCTGGGCAGCGATATGAGCATCTTTGTTCAGCTTGAACGAAGGTCTTGTATTTAACATAAAATTAAACTCCCATTTTTGTGAAGCCATTGTGCCACTGATGAATACACAGGGACCTCGAAGTCTCACACAGCCCTAACCTGCGCGTCTCGAGTGGGAGCGCATAAAGACGCTATAGTGTCAATGACAAACCCTGCCAGTCTGTGTAGGTCAAGAGCTCCATGATCAACCTGCTACTGGATCAGCTCCACGTCCAGGATTTCATCCTGCTGAGACCTCTACCTGACATGAGCCGGCAGCAGCATCTGATGGGGAACAAAAGCTGTTTACTGGAGATTATGTGTGGAATTTTACACTTTAACAGTCTGAATATTTCCTAAATAACAAATAATGTAAATGTGGAAAATGTATTATTTTGTGCTGATCTGACAGAAAAAAATAGTTTTCTTGGGACAAATTTAGTTTAGAGAAATTTTACAGACAGAAAGCAATCTTTTAGCACCTCTCATGATAAAATCATGAGGTGCTTCACAAGAAGAAACATTTAAAATATAAAATTAAAAATGTAAGGAAATGGGGTAACACTTTACAATAAAGGTTCCTTTATTAACGTTACTTATGGCCATCATTTTGAAATAAATATATAAAAGCATTAAATGTTTCTAATTGGATTTACAGTGGGGAAAAAAAGTATTTAGTCAGCCACCGATTGTGCAAGTTCTCCCACTTAAAATAATGACAGAGGTCAGTAATTTACATCATAGGTACACTTCAACTGTGAGAGACATAATGTGAAAAAAAAAATCCATGAATTTACAGGTCAGGATTTTTAAAGAATTTATTTGTAAATCAGGGTGGAAAATAAGTATTTGGTCAATAACAAAAATTCAACTCAATACTTTGTAACATAACCTTTGTTGGCAATAACAGAGGTCAAACGATTACTCTAGGTCTTTACCAGGTTTGCACACACAGTCGCTGGTATTTTGACCCATTCCTCCATGCAGATCTTCTCGAGAGCAGTGATGTTTTGGGGCTGTCGCCGAGCAACACAGACTTTCAACTCCCTCCACAGATTTTCTATGGGGTTGAGGTCTGGAGACTGGCTAGGCCACTCCAGGACTTTCAAATGCTTCTTACGGAGCCACTCCTTTGTTGCCCGGGCGGTGTGCTTGGGATCATTGTCGTGTTGGAAGACCCAGCCACGTTTCATCTTCAAAGCTCTCACTGATGGAAGGAGGTTTTGGCTCAGAATCTCACGATAAATGGCCCCATTCATTCTGTCCTTAACACTGATCAGTCGTCCTGTCCCTTTAGCAGAAAAACAGCCCCAAAGCATGATGTTCCCACCCCCATGCTTCACAGTAGGTATGGTGTTCTTGGGATGCAACTCAGTATTCTTCTTCCTCCAAACACGACGAGTTGAGTTTATACCAAAAAGTTCTACTTTGGTTTCATCTGACCACATGGCATTCTCCCAATCCTCTGCTGTATCATCCATGTGCTCTCTGGCAAACTTCAGACGGGCCTGGGCATGCACTGGCTTCAGCAGCAGAACACGTCTGGCACTGCAGGATTTAATTCCCTGCTGTTGTAGTGCGTTACTGATGGTGACCTTTGTTACTGTGGTCCCAGCTCTCTGCAGGTCATTCACCAGGTCCCCCCGTGTGGTTCTGGGATTCTTGCTCACCGTTCTCATGATCATTTTGACCCCACGGGATGAGATCTTGCGTGGAGCCCCAGATCGAGGGAGATTATCAGTGGTCTTGTATGTCTTCCATTTTCTGATAATTGCTCCCACAGTTGATTTTTTCACACCAAGCTGCTTGCCTATTGTAGATTCACTCTTCCCAGTCTGGTGCAGGTCTACAATTCTTTTCCTGGTGTCCTTCGAAAGCTCTTTGGTCTTGGCCATAGTGGAGTTTGGGGTCTGACTGTTTGAGGCTGTGGACAGGTGTCTTTTATACAGATAATGAGTTCAAACAGGTGCCATTAATACAGGTAACGAGTGGAGGACAAAAGCTTCTTAAAGAAGACGTTACAGTTCTGTGAGAGCCAGAGATTTTCCTTGTTTGAAGTGACCAAATACTTATTTTCCACCCTGATTTACAAATAAATTCTTTAAAAATCCTGCCATGTGAATTCATGGATTTTTTTTCACATTCTGTCTCTCACAGTTGAAGTGTACCTATGATGAAAATTACTGACCTATGTCATCATTTTAAGTGGGAGAAATTGCACAATCGGTGGCTGACTAAATACTTTTTTGCCCCACTGTATCTCAAGTACCGCTATCGGTGACTAAACAGACCTAATAAAACCTGGCTTTAAACAAGCAATAAAACATGTTTGTGATGGAGGAACCAAAGCTCAGACCATTTGGTAGTCAGAGTTCAACCAATGTTGGGTTTTTCTATTGCCGATATCGATGTTATGTTGGACACATGGACGGTGCATTCTGCATACCTCTAAATGCCCTGTGGAGGTTTTATTTTTTAAATATAGCTTTTTAAATTATTTCATATTCAACCTTTAATCAAATGTTCTAATCCATCAATTTTGTTTTTAGTTCAGATTGAATTTAACTACAACATCCGCACACTAGATGTCGCTTTGGTGTGTTCTTTAAAATAAATGATCAGGAAAAAGGCTTTTGGAGCAGTAGGACCAGAAGGTAGATCCAGTTGGACACACTAGGGGACGTCATTTCTCCTCCTCATTCATAGTTTGTTGCACTGTAGCTAGCTGAGTTTAGCACTTGGACTCCACACAACCATCATGTTTAACACTCCTACGCAAATACAGTTTTTTTATACTGAGTTTTAAGCAAAATAGGAGAAAAAGACGGCTAGAGCGAGGTACCCTGCTGCTGCCAACTCCTAAGTGTTTTATTTTGAAATACATTATAGGCAGTGTTTCTAATAAGTAACTTACTGAAATTCATAGAAGTAGCTCCCACTTCTCTGCATTTTTATAAATATTCCCAAACAAACCAAAATAAGATCTGGTTATTTTTCCTGCTTTATTAACATTAGGAGGCTAAAATGTTCTCTAGTTGATGGTTCACCAGAACCGGAGTGCAGTTCCAGCTTTCCGCCACTGGAGGGCATACATTTAAAATAAATGATCAGGAAAAAGGCTTTCAGCGCTTTTCATCTTCTTTGTTCAATTTTGTATGCAATTTCTTTGTATACTTATCACCTTGTTCAATAAAGTTTTGAGAAAAAAAAAGAAAACAAAAGGCTTTCAGCGCTTTGGGCTTCCTGACAGGGTTGCGGAAGGTGCTTTATAAATAAAGCTTTGATTGATTGAAATTCCCATCCTCTGTTAAGTCTATTCAAAACTAATTTTGCAGCACTGTAACTTGAGAAGCATGCACAGCAGTGCAATGTAAATTGTAGCTAAGAAAAACTTTTTTTTTCTGCATGAGAAATTGGAGGTGAAGAGTGAGAAGATATACGAGATGAGTTTACACAAAAACAGACTTAAATTTGATCTTTGTTTTACTTTCGTTACAAATTATGCAGCATGATGCAATTTTGTTAATGCATGACAGCAGCAGCCAGCTGGTTTATGTGTTGCAGAAATAAAGTCAGATGCATTGAAAAGAGACTTAAGGCAGGAATCTTCTGTAAATTATTTATAACTGCAAAATGTGTAACAAAGTTTTTTTTAAATCATAAATACAAGAATTTAACAAGGTATCTTCTAAAAAGTTGACTTTCTATCACAAACAAAACAGGTATGGACATCTCAACAACAAAAGCACCTCCCACACAAAAATCTTACAAATTTGCATATTATTTAAAATATAAAATGAAAAAAACAATTAAAAAAAAGATAAGTTAAAGCACACACATTTCACCTCACTTGAGCTGCTTTGCACAAATCTTTGCATTGTTTTACAAATGCACAAAACTCAGTTTGCATAAAAATCCCCCCCAAAAAACAGATGAGCTAAAAATGCCAGGTTGTGTAAAGAGCAGCAAACCAAACTTGTTGCTTGGATAAATTAGTGTCCTCCTTTGATCCTGAGAGAAAATCAATGTCATATCCTAGTTAGTCATCCAAAAAGAGCAGGGACGAAGATCATCTGTAAGCAGACAAAGCCTCGCGTAGAAAATTAGAGTGAAAAATAAAATCAATGCCACCAAAAAGCTCCTTAAACGGTTGTCTCTGCATTCAAGCTTAGCATTCGATAGCTGTGGGAGACTTCTTAAGTGAAAAGGCAAAAGAACATGTGCTGAATAAAAAGACAATTGGTGAATGAAATCTTTTGTTCTTAGCCACACATAAAACCAGCTTCCTGTCATCCACACACCAACAAGCCCCATTAAAACATGTAGAACAGTACAGACACTACAGGTGTGTGACCCCAGCCAACTGAACAGGTCAACTTGTTTTCTCAGCTCTTCTACCAATAGCGTCACCTCCCCAAGATGATTGTGACTGGCTCGAACAACAAAGCAGATGAAGACAAAACAACTCTGCACCGTGTAGCATTTTCAATACCGGTGAAACAGGAGTTGTTGAGTCGGAGGCAGACGGAAGCAGGATGTGACCCGAACCAGTCCAAAGGTGAGGTGACGGCCGGGTCACAGTGCAGTCAGTACTACGTCTACATGCGTGTTGTCCTGCTATGAGTCTTTCAGCATGTTGATGCGCGCAAAGATCTTAAGTGCGGGTCCCAGCTTAATGTTCATGGTGCTCATTAGGTGGTCCTCCTTCAGCAGAAGCAAGGCCTGTCCGTCGATCTCCTGAGAGCGGAACTCGTCTGCAATCTCCTGACAACCTGGAAACCAGCAGAGGAAAACTTGTCATTCCTGCACAAGTTTGTGTGTTCTATGCACGCAGCGAATCCCACTGACCTGGTAGAGAACAAATGAACTCGTAAACTTCTTCCACGTTCCACTTAGTGGCGTCGTTGGGTAAGAAGCGCTCGCAGCATGATGGTGCATCTCTTCCAGTGCAGCCCTCCTGGTCCGATGACCTGCTGGGCTGCCGGTGGACGGGGGCTTGGGCGGAAGCAGGAGCAGGAGCGAGGGGTCCTGAGCTGGCTGCTGACAGGGGAGACTGTGGTTCCTCGTAGCTGGACATGTCCGAGCATGGGCTGGACTCCTCCTGACTGGGCTGGGAGGCCTGTGGCGATGACACAGAGCCGCCTTGGGTCTGTTGTGGTGACGGGGACAGTTTCTGTGAAGGGAAACCAAAAGATGCTTGAGACTTAGTTGATGGAAAATCTGACTCTTTTCACATGAAATAAATGATATTCTGATGTTTCGCTATGAAGGACGTGCATTACCTTCCGCCACAGTGAATTACTAGATATTGATAATATTGGTCCAACATAGGATTACGTGTTTGAATATTGCTTATTTGGCAAGATGAGCGTCGCCGTTATGAGACAGGCCCTACCTGATCGATATACTGGGCCAACATTTGACTTTGTTTATAAATCGGAATCCGCCGACATAACTCCTTAGTAAAGCCGATTTAAAGTCAGGCATGTCCGCAGACATACCGAAGCCGCTTCGGAATTTTATTTGAATGTATATTTACATTCCTGAATAACATCTGCTTGATAAGTACTCCCAAAAAATATTCATTAGAAGCCTAAACTGCTGTTTATCACATCATTTTATAAATCCAGTAGGTGAATTTGGTCAAAGTCAGCAACTTGTTAACATCTGTGATCAGCATCAGGGAGAACATAAGCTAGCACTGGTAAACTAGCTTAGACTTAACTTTTGTAAACTCTAGGGATGTCCCGTTGCGATATTGGAAATAGGTCTGAGATTGGCCCCAAAACATAAAAAATCTCCAGTATAAGCAGTCCGTCACGCTTTCATTCTAGCAATTCTATCCAGCAGCGCCCAGATCCAGCATGAAAAGCCTGCGTGATCAGAACAGTGCCTGCTAGCAAAGCAGCAAGGAACAAGAGCAATGTCGGCCATGTGGCAGTATTTTTAGTTAAAGTCTGAAAAAGACCGTGTGGCTCAGTGGAACCTTTGCCATGCACAAGTTTCCCGTGGTGGAACAGAACCGGGAACGTTTAATACGTCCAACCTCGTTGAACGTATGAAGCAGCATCACAAACACAGCACGAGGCTTTTCGCAGTGTGTGACACTGAAACTTGGGACGTTCTACTTGCAGCAGTTGATCCATGGACAATACCGTTTTTATTGCCCTCTGCTGTTCCCATCATTTGCAGTAAAACATAAAAGTGACCTTGAATTAGCACTTTTCACTTTAAAAGAAATTTTTGTTTATTTATTTACTTAAAATATTTGTCTTTAACTGATTATTTATTATTGTATTCATTTGTTATACATTATGCTTAAGGTTTACGTTTACGTCCGCTTTTTCGTACTGTTGCTGGCTTTTGTTCTCTGAGCAACGCCACTTGGTCAAGCCTTTCGTAGATTCTACACTACGGAAAAAGTAAAAGCATGTTTGGTTCGTGCCGATATCGTATCGGATTGATATCAGTCAATACACACAAGGCTGCAGTATCGGTGTTGGATCAGAAGTGAAAAACTTGTATCGGGACATCCCCAGTTAACACCGCTCTCTATGAGCCTCACCTGGTGTACTAAATCTTCCCACAAGCAAACTGGACTTGAACCAGTAGAAACCAATGCTCCCATAAATCACTGTTGATGTCTACCATTGTGGACCCACGTGACCAAGTGACGTAGGTGCAAAGGGTCGATGCATCAATGCAGTTTCTAACATGACAAAGCCTTAGAAGCAGCTGGACTGTTTTTCTGTATTGAATGTTTCTCACCGACTCTTTCAAAGAACAGCAAAAGCACAAATGTACGGCTTAGCTCTTCGTGTTGTCGGTGCAGCATGTGCACAAGTGTGGCCATGTCTGTACCTGTTTTTTAGCTTCTATACTGAAGCGGCCATGGTTCCTTCGACGCCAGCGATTGGCTGGTTTGGTCCTCTCTGGATGGAAGAGTCCAACCCGCTTTGTACAGCCCACGTTGTACCTGCTCAGAAAGATGAACGGATTTTATTTGTTAGGCCAAAAACTTTCCTGTTGATTGTTCACATTTAGAGATGTCAACATCCAAGAGACTTGCCTTTTTGCACAAACTACCGAGCAGAACCTTTTGGAACCCTTAAACGTGTACGCAAAGTCCACCCATCCGCAGTATTCGCACGTCAGCTTGGGCTCTTCTTTCTCTGTGGGACAGAAAAGCAACAGAAACATGAGACGCTGAACAGAAGCAGGTGGTCTGAAGAAAGTTTCACCCTCTGAAAAGTGATCAATGTGCCAAAACTGATCCGGGTTATTGAATTGATTCATTTTACATCATTAGAGCTCGACTTCTGCCTCTGCTCTAGAACCAAATATTGAATGATGAAGAGATCCACGTGTATGAAACTAAACTAAGTAGTTTGTGTTGTTTATAAGCAGCAGGCTAACAGGCCTGACTCATCACAGATGTCCAATTTCATACACATCACGCCTTCCTTAAAGACGTACGAGGCACAGAGCGGTTTAACTCACCGTTACACAAGTAAAAGTGCAAATGAAAGCAAAGCTGTTCGGTCTCACCTGGTTGGTTCATGTCTTCGGGCTCGGAGTCGGAGTTCGCTGCATTGCTGATGGGAGTTTTGTCGGGGTCTGAGGAGAGCTGATGATCCAGCTTCTTTTCACTGTTGATGAGGATGGGCAGGCGCTCCACCTGGGGTTGGAATGAAAAAGATTCACATAATAAAACCACCGTTTAGCACATATGGAGGTGGGAAGGCACAGGAGAAGACATCTGTTCAGGTGGACATTCAGGCAATCAGAAGAAAGTTTGAAGATTTCAAAGTATGATGATTCACGTTTGGAAACGTGGCAACCATTTACACAGACTGTCCAGAAGGAGGCAGACTAAAAGGTTTGGGTCTTTCAGGACTTAAACATTGCACGATGTTCACATCAAACACAGACACGCCACATGATGAAGCATCACTTTAAAGCAGGTGATTATTTTACATTTTAAAGGTAAACGTGTCAGTTGTTCCACTTATATTCATCCGACCATCTGTAGTCTGTCAGCTTCCCATCTCCTTGTAATAAACGGCTGATTTAAACAAGACGCTTTGAGCTACCATAAAACCGCAGCAGAGGGTTTGTGTTTCCCTGCAGGCATGTTCAGTGCAGACCGCGGTCGTCCGTCGTGTTTCTCAGCCAGTAAAATCTGAGTCAGGGCACTTACACACACAGGAAACGGTTCCGCTCCCTCCTGGATGACGAAGCCTTCGATGACATGCGTGAGGACCTGCGGCTTGACGATGGCCTGTGGCGGTTTGTTCTCTCCGTTGTGTGGCGCACTGCCCGTCACGGTTGGTGCCTCGCTTTCGTTTCCTGAGGTCATGGCTGGAGATGAGGTTTCTGTCGCTGCACTTGGCCTCTTAACTGAGCCTCCTCCTGGACAAGGAAAAGGAGAAAATGATGGAACAGTTGGTGCGCCAAATAATACCTCTGGCTGAAGTGGATTAAAAAGGGGACAAGAGCTGCTGATGTATCTGAAAAGCAGTGTTTGTTCTCCATATATTTAAAAAGAGATGGTAACGACTATTAGAGATGCACCAAATAAATCAGACACTGAATCAGACTATCTGAGAATCAAAAAATATTGTTTTTCATCTTTTTGTTTGTGAAAGCATCGTTGCCAAGCAGCAATAAAACCTTACCATCACTAAGCTTTAATCATGGATTTTCCATGCTTTCAGAATCATGATTTTTGCTTTAACTGGAAATAGCTTTAGTTTCAGGTAGCTGGTTTCAAAAGAGGCATTTCTGTGACCCTTTTACCCATCCATCCATGTATGTGTAGTATCAGTTTCCTAAAACCAGAATCGGTGCATCTCGAGACAATTTAAACAAATATTCAGCTACCTGCAATCATTTGGTCAAATTCCAATCAAATCTGGAAGACATGTTAGTTTTTCATATGCAAATGCTCAGATGTCATGCTTTCATCATGCATTCACACAGAAGCAGCACTATTGCACCTTTAACTTCTGTATAGGGTATGAAGCTTCAGCTTAAACCAGTGAGGAATCTCTGCATTAGAACTAATTGACTTTACAGTATAATTGAGTTTATTCGCGTATAATCATAACATTTCCACAGCTACCCTCTGCAACAAACCGAACCAGCACTGTCCACCTGCTGCTGCCAGGCGAACATTTCCGGTAACACGTCGGTCATAAACACACAAGTCCGAAGCTGCATCCATCACAGCTTTTACCCTAACCCTAAACACCGACACACAACCGAAAGAAAACACGGATCCTGACGCCATGCTTCTTCATCCCCAGAGCCGAACGGGAGAAGTTCTCTTACCGCGCAACTTCCGGGCTGTTCGGTCACAAAGGCATGTGCGGCTCGGTTCGGTTGATTTGTTGTTCTGATGATCCGAGGCAGGAACACGCGGATCTGCAGCGGAAACTGAGCGCGTCTTAAAGCTGCATCCCCGCTTTAAAGCAGCCAGTGAAAGGCTGAGTCCGCCTCCCGGTTCCTCCCACAGCAGCTCCGGTCCTCCCGCTGAGCTTCTACCGGGAACCTGATTGAACCGGACATCCAAACACCGTTCTTCACACACTACTAGAGGACCACGCATCTAATAAACACAGCAGAATTGCAGATACGGGGGCTCATGCCTCCATCAGATACCAACACCGTCTAGACCAGCAGGGGTGTCACAAACTTTTTCTGGTTCAGGGGGCCACATCCCCTCTAATCAGTGGTTGGGCCACTAAGTTTATTTATATAGCATTAAACAGAAGATCAACCAAAGTGCTGTACACACATAAAAGAAGAAATTAAAACAATAAATCCTGCAATGGCCAACAGAGAAATACACCCAAGTACAAATACGGCCAAGATATATAAGCAAGAAATATAGATAAGATAACAGATAAAAACAGGATGAAAGATTGCCCAATTATCTAAAAATATAGCAAAAAAAGCTTGCAGAGGGAACACCATAGTAGCAGTACAACCATAAATTAAGTAACTATAAATTAAAACAAGTCCTTGTTTTTAATCTTTGTTTTTGAACAATGAACATCAGAAAATATCCATATTTAATTACATATCTTTAGGCATTAAACAACTCTGATTTCTTCAGACAAGTGTTTGCACAAACTCACAAGTATTTGGGACCAACAGCAGTATCAATTAACAGAACAAATCTTAATTTGGACATTTGGAACAATCTACCATCACACATAAAGCTGTAAACAAATGTTACAACTTTTAACTCCCAGATGAAAAAAGAGCTGAAACAAAAAGCAAATTTGGGAACACTGATGTTTTCTATCAGCTAACACATTATTTGTGTGTGTGTGTGTGTGTGTGTGTGTGTGTGTGTGTGTGTGTGTGTGTATTGATAAATGCTATAAATGCTGTTGTTTGATTTCCTCTAAAAGTCAAACCAAGGACAACGTTTTCTAATTAACCTCTGGCTAGAAAACCTCTGTAGGAAACAACATTACATGTAACACTGTCTTTTGTCCTGTCCTTGTTCAATAAACTCAAAGTAAACTAATACATAAAAGGGAAAGAATATCCCGTAACACCTCACAAAGAAACAAATTCAAAAGGGCATCTTGTGAATAATTTTCATGACAGCAACTATCAGAACAGGTGCAAAAACTGCAGATTAGGCACGTGAGAGCAAATTTATTCTTCACATTATAACTGATTTGCAAAAGGAGAAACAAGTTTTTATTAACAGTAATCACAAAGGCACACGTCCATTGTAAACTGGAAGCTGCTGAAAAACAAGCATTACTATTTACAGTAAAGCCAGTTTTATGTTGCTGTTAACCAAGAAGAAGCACATTTACATGATTAGGCTAGAATAAAGTTTGTAGTTAAATAAAAAGACTCTTGAACAACAGTTTTGTAATCAGATTTAGTGTTCCCCCAAGAAAAATTTCCAGCTGTGGCGTGCAGGGGTAACAGACCGACCGCCACGCCTGAGTCTATGTAGTGGAAACACTGAGATTTGTGCGTTTACATCATTGACATATATACTGGACAATTCGTCTCCATAGACTCCAATTATAAGTTTTTAAGCCAAAATGGGAGGTGGCCACTACCGCCATTTTGACCATGTCACAGGTTCTGTCAAGCCCAGACAATTCCACAAAAGGGTGGGGCTGTAAGGCTGGGATCAAATGACGACACCAAGCGATGTAGCTACAAGCTAACCCAAAGCTAACGCGGAGGTGGGAGCTAAGCTAATGGAGGTAGCTACCTAGCTACAACCGGAGTTAACTGTGCACAACACCAGAGCTTCTGAGTCAGAGATACGCCGAGCTGCAGCTGGGGAGAACCGGGTGGAAAACATCGATTTCCATCCGAGAGCTCCACAAGCCGGCAGCCGTGCAGCAGATTAGCGCTGCTGCGGTCAGAGATGCGCCGAGCTGCCGCTGAGGGGAGGGGACAATACCGATAGTCAGAACCCAGCTCCACCAACATGTTATATTTCAACCCATTTTCTAAAATGCAGCGTTATGTTAAATGCCCTGGGTTTTACCCTATTACATTTAAATTTCATAGTAAAACAGTACATGTTAAAAATCTAAGTTCAGCTAGTGCAAGAGTGGCAGTGACCTAAAAATCGAGATAAATACATAAATATAATTTTACTTACCGAAAAAAATGAAGTGGAGACTCGTTGGACGTTCTATTAGTGCAATTAATGCCACAGCAAGTCATTTTGTCCAATAGTTGCACAAATAATGTCCCAAAAAAAATCCACAAACGGCACAACTAATGCTCTAAGCTGAGAGACTGAAAATCATGGAACAGTTTTCAGGCGAGGCCTTTTGCCGGAGCTAGCTCTGCGGTCACATGGGTCTGATGCTCATCAATTATTCAGAATTTTAGGCGTTTAATACAGTTAAACAGAAGAGTGACAAAAAATTCACCCCCCTCAGAGTTGTCATGAGTGTAAACTAGATCTATTAAACCTAAAACATATTTTGGTACCAGGCTGTAAACATGTTTATTTCTGCTGTGAAATTGGTATTTTTAACATGGGAGTCAATGAGGATTTGCTCGCTTCTGACACCAGCCCCCAGCGGATGAGGGTGGAACTGCAATTTATGTTACTTCCGTATTGGCGTCATTTCCAGACCCGAATTATGGGGGCTTGGTTTACATGTGCATCAGAAGAAGGAATGATTGCCCTAACTAGACTGGCCTCGTATTTTTTTAATGCATGGCATGTAAATAAACTGAAGGCAAACCGGTTCTAATGGTGCTGAAGCTCCCAGATAAGAGTAGGAACCCAACTTCACCCGAATGTAAACAGCTCAGTCGAACTGATACCGGTAACTTCTGGAAGTGACAAGACCACAGCAGCGGTCTTCTGAGCATATCAAATAACACGTGTAAAACCGTCAAATATCAAATAAAGCTGTGTTGCATTGTTGTTGTCGTCCATTCCTTTGGTCATTGTGCATATCCTGTTTTAACTTCATCTGCTTCACTACCGCCAGCATTTGTTTACTATTCGTGTTGCTAAGCTAACCAGCAGAATGCCGACACAAAAGGGCGCATGTCACCACCTACTGTACCGGAGTGGAACAAACTTCATTAGAGAGTTCAGTTTTCTAAACTGGGATAAAGGCTCCCAGTTTATTACTTTGGATGGACCTAGGTCACCTTAGACCACGTGTCCGACACAAGGCCCGGAGCATTTTTATGTGGCCCGTGAGATAAATATCAAAAATATATTAAAACTGACCCGCTGGCTGATTTTACCACAAAGACTACAACTCCCATGATGCTTTGTGACATTAGCGCGGAGCTGAAGCGCCCCTCCTTTGCGTTTTTTCCATCGACATAAATATTGGACAATGGGTTTCCATAGGCTCCAATAATAAGTTTTTGAGCTAAAATGGGAGGTGGCCACCACCGATTTTTGACCGTGTCACAGGTTTCGTCAAGCCCAGACAATTCCACAAAAGGGAAGAGAGGTGGAGCTGAGGGTGGAGCTGTAAGGCTGGGATCAACTGACGACACCCGGTCGAACTAGCTACAAGCTAAACTGAAGCTAACCCAAAGCTAATGCGGAGGTGGGAGCTAAGCTAATGGAGGTAGCAACCTAGCTACAACTGGAGTTAACTGTGCACAACACCAGAGCTTCTGAGTCAGAGATACGCCGGGCTGACCGCTGGGTAAAACCGGGTGGAACACAGAGGTCTCCCGAGAGCTCCACAAGCCGGCCGCCGCACAGCAGACAAGCGCCGCTGCGATCTGAGATGCGCAGAGCTGCCGCTGGGGAGAACCGGGTGGAAAGGTTTCCATCCCAGAGCTCCACAAGCCGGCAACCCACGCAGCAGTCAGAAGCCGCGCAGCAGACAGAGATGCGCCGAGCTGCGGGGAGGGGAGAACCGGGTGGAAAACATCGGTCTCCCGAGAGCTCCACAAGCCGATAGTCGGAACCCAGCTCCACCAACATGTTACATTTCAACCCATTTTCTAAAGTGCAGCATTATGTTAAATGCACTGGGTTTTACCCGTTTACATTTAAATTTCATGGTTAAACAGTACATGTTAAAATCTAAGCTCAGCTCGGCAGTGACCTAAAATGCATAAATATAATTTTACTTAGAGAAAAAAATGAAGTGGAGACTCCTTGGACGTTCTATTAGTGCAATTAATGCCACAGCAAGTCACTTTGTCCAACAATTGCACTAAAAATGTCCAAAAAAAGAATGCACAAACGCTACAACTAATGGTCTAGGTTGAGAAACTGAAAATGACCGAACAGTTTTCAGGCGAGGTCGAGGCTCAGACTGAGGCCTTTCCCCGGAGCTAGCTCTGCGGTCACGTGGGTCTGATGCTCATTAATTATACAGAATTTTAGGCTTTTAATACACTTAGAAGAGTGAGAAAAAAATTCACCCCCCTCAGAGTTGTCATGAGTGTAAACTAGATCATTTAAACAAAAAACATGTTTTGGTACCAGGCTGTAAACATGTTTATTTCTGCTGTGAAATTGGTATTTTTAACATGGGAGTCAATGAGGATTTGCCCGCTTCTGACACAGCGGATGAGGGTGGAACTGCAATTTATTTCACTTCCGGGTTGGCCTCAATTTTTCACCCGCATTGTGGGGCCTTGGTTTTTTCCAGCGTCTGCTGCCGGTGTCTGCAGCTCCGCTGTCTCGGACAAACTAAACACTCCTCTCACTCAGCGCCGAGTTTACTCAGCTATTTTCTGACATTAAAGCCCAGAAACAAAGATTTTAACCGCTCAGTAATGTGTTCACGACTGAAAGAGAACGTTTTCCAACCAACTTCCAGACAGAGCTGATATAACTCCAGCGAGCAGCGACACGCTCAAATCAGCACGACTCTGTGGCTGCTGTCGTTATTTTTCCTCCCCGACACACAACAACGTGGTCAAGCTGCTGAGACGTTCTTCATGTTTACCAGCACAAACCTATGTGAGCACCTGTTATCATTATTATGATGAAGATGAACAAAACAACAGGAGTCTTCTCCTCAGCTCATCAACCCCATGATGCAGGTATCTGGCTGGAACAGGTGAGCATCACAGTAAACCAGTGGAGCAAACTGAGCTTTAAATATTTTGGTTTTATGCTCTTTTTCTGGCTGCAGATAGATGAATAGAATAGAAAATCCCTTTATTGTTCCTCAGTGGGGAAAGCTAGATGTCACAGCAGTGATGACACTTATTACAGGAGAAAAAAGGAGAATAAAAAATAAGAAAAATGAACAAACAACAAGAAAACATAAATCCTGAATGGATTTTAAAAATGCTGAATATACCACAAGTAATGAGTTCCGCTGATGCGTTTTATTTAAAATTGACTTGCTCGTGTGTAATTTGGTTATTCCACATTCAGAGTTAATGCAAAAATAAGTTTGTTTCCAAATTAAAAAGTTCAAAATTGCATATATGTTGATAAAGAAAATGTGCAAATTTGCCGTCACTTTTTAAAAAAATATTAAGTTCGGCCCGCGACTTCGTCCCAGATTTTCATTTCGGCCCCTTGTGAGTTTGAGTTTGACACCCCTGCCTTAGACCTAGAGTGTAGGCTGCATTTCTACCATCTCATGTCTAGGAGACCATGGATCCATTATATGTTGCTATGTTGCATGTCTGTTGGTAATCTGAACCATCTGAAGGCACACATTAAGCAGGAATATAGCAAAACAAGAGCACTACTTTGTTGAGAATGCAACATTGTTAAGATTTTCTTTTTGAAGGCATTAATAACCGTTTACATGTCAAACATTTGGCCAGCTGATTGAATCTGGTTCAGACGTTACCTCGAGGTTGAACAGGTGGTGTGGTGGGGTTAACCTTGGGCTGCTCTACAGGCTTGGAGGGCTGTGATGGAGGAGGCTCGGGCTGTGACTGCTGTGGTGGTGGTGGTGGTGGCTGCGGCTGCTGCACGGAGTGTGTCTGACTCGTCTCTCTAACCACTAAAGATGTGGGCTTATCCTTGTTGTCCTGAACTAGTCGGGGGGGCTGAGATGAGCATGAAAAGCAAAACACAGAAGGACAAATAAATGAGGAGGAACATCTGAGACACTTGATGACTTTCACTGTAAGTGATACCTGAACACATTTCGAAGTTTCTTCTGTAACATTTGATTTCCCCCCAAACAGAAAGGATGCCAACACTCGTAATACTAAATAATACTAAAACACTAAAGATAATCACAGGTGGATGCTGGCAGAATAATTAATAAGTACTTTTATAATCGGGTGACAAGATACAGAAGTGTTTTCTGGTGTTCGTCCAACAGCGGTAAAGACACAAGGGAAGATAGTCGTTACTCAGCATGGATGCAAACAGCACACCTACCGTCGGCTGTATTTGTAGGTTGATGGCAGTGAGCTGCACGGGCTGAGCTTTGGCTTGGCTGAGTGAGGAGTGGAGCGCATGGGGGCTGATGGTGGAGTGGAAGATGGTAGCCTGCTGGCTCGGAGTGGATGGCTGGTGATGGGCAGGTTTGGGCAGCACTGGGACGGGGTGCTGCGACGGCTGAATGGAGGCCGTCTGCAGCAGCTGGCCTGACGTCCTCTGGGATCCTTGGCTCTGCTGGACCACAAGTTGCTGCTTGTGCTGCTGAACCAGCGGATGAGGCTGGATCTGGGTGTACGCTGGAACAAGAAACCATCAACCTTAGCCACCTTGATTATGTCCTAAACTCAATGTGTTTCACCCGCAAAGCTACTTGATAAACAAGCAAATCTCTCATCAGGCCCTGCTAATTCATTTTTCCTGTGGCTGCAGAGGTTTGTCTGAGCAAACAGTGAAACCGGTAGGCATGGAATACAAACTTCCTTTTTATATACACAAATTAAAATCCGGTTATTACTAAAATTGGCCTTGAAGCAAATAAACAAATGAGACAAACGTTCCCCTAAAGGGTGTTTGCTGCCACCGTTGATGATGAGCAAAGCAATTACAGTTGGCAAAAATGTGAGGAAATAAAGTGATGAAGCACTCAGCCCCAGGCCTATAAACAGTGAAAAAGTAAATGTCTGAACAAAAGATCCCATTTGGCAGTGCTGCCGTCACCTCTGTGCCCCTTGCTGACAAGATTTAATATTAAGAGCTTTTTGAAGGGTGCACAGACAGGCCCCATATTGCAGTTCTGACCTTACCATTACTCATAAACTGTCTCAAAATGGCCTGTCACCACCTGTCGGGGCTGTCGCGGGTAGGAAGACATCCTGAACTCATAACTTGCCCTGCAGCCAGAGACACAACACATCAATCTGGTATTGTGGCAACATGTGTGACTGTTCTGCAGAAGAAGCCTGAGGCTACGCTAATATTAGAAAGGCTTCAGGAAGAAACACGCTGAGCCAACTGCCCATGACGCTCTCTAAAGAGCTGATGTAGAGTCAGCGGGTCTCCTGCTCTCTCCTTCATCTCCAACAACTCAACCAGGAAACATAAAAACTAATAACCTCGTTCTCATTACTCAACCCAATCAAGAGATGACTTACTACTGCACCAAAGAACACCACAGTAGCTCCTGCTGCAGGACCCGTGTGAACACGGATGTGTGCTTGCTGATGTTAATAAACCTAACAATAACTCCAAGAGTGGAAAATTGCCAAGTACATCAGCAATTGTCCCTGATCCCCCTCCTGCCACCCCCCTCTCCCCGTTCTTTTCATGATGTTTTGTGTGGGATAGACTCCATCTGGTTTCAAAGTTCCCCTGCAAGGCGTTAACTGCAGTCTGTGCCCGTCCGTGGAAAATAGATGTTTTTATCCAGTAAATTTTGCATGTCATTAGTGCTTTTGACATGACGTGATGGAAAGTGTTTTGTTTTTTCTAGACGCAATATATTTTGGCCGAGCAGTATTGCCGTAGCATGATGACATCATAGGCAGGCGCAGGACCCTGAGCAGATCCAGAAACTACAACGCCAGAAAACTACAATCAGCATTGCATTCTCTTGATGGAATGAACTGAAGGACCATCAAAGTCTGAGGAGTCACGCTGAGGTTGCATGCCTTCTGCTCCACTGATATCTTTTAACGTAATGTTTTCTAGAACTAGCGACAATCATGGCGATATGATGCAAAACTACCCTGAAATGTGAGTACTGCACCCTAGCGCCAGGAAACTACACACTGTCACTTTAAAACTCCACTGATGAATCATGACATTCCCAGGGACGTCATGGAGGAGAAAGGGAATTTCTGAATCCATGTGCTGGATATGATCAACCCTTCCAACAAACCATGACAACTTTTTCAAGGCTTTACTGAGAAGTTTTAACAGAACAAGAAATGTCACAGCTGCTCTTCAGATTAAAGACAGGAACGCTGAGCCTCCTCACTCCCACACTGATGTACACATGCAAACCACACAGTATTTATTATGTAGCAGTGGTCACCGTGCCTCCAAAGGAAAATCTTTATAGACCTCATACTGGGTGTTGTGAAAGGTCCTGAAGATGAGGACAGCACACATTCCTTTCAGTTTGTAGCACTGAAGGCTCTGGAAAATCCCAGAGTTTCCATATTCTCCCTGGCTGCCACATTGGTTTACTTTGATGAAACACAGGATCTACAACAGCAAGCCACTTTACATCTTCTCCCAAATGCAAGAAAACTCTCCATCAGGTTCATAAACGTTCTACAAAACATGTTACAACTGTTGCATCAATCCAGTTCAGACTCAACCGCTCGGCCCGATTTCCAGGAAGAAAATAGAATAGGAAAGAATCGAATAAATCTATTTTGGTATGAGAAAATAATTATCTTAATGCAGGTGGTGGTTCTCTTTAGCAAAGCAGTTTTCATGTTTCAAAGTCTTTCTGTGATCATGTTAAAGCAGAACGTTGAAGCGACATCCTGCACAGATCCGCTCTTCTAATCATCCAGGGTCGTAGTTCTGGGGGGTTCTCCGCTGTGGTTTTGTAATAACTCCTCGGCTCTTTCTCGACAATAGGAAGGGATGACAGATAATTATTGCACCAAGTCAAATGGACTAACATTGTTTCCTCCCAGGTTCTTACAGGACAAGGCAAAGTGGTCAGCTTTGGGAACATTTATTAGAAACTGGAGCTGTTGTTATTTTATTTTATTTTAACAAAATTATGCCAAGATGAATTAAGAATATTTCTTGATGTGGTCAGTTTATAGTCTTGGCAGCTGATGAAAACACCTCCTTCATTTTAGAAAGTCAAACCTCAATTAAATTGCCCTTAATCTACAATGAACCATGCACCAGACATAGAAGATAAGCAAACAGTTCCCCAAATGGAAAATGTTAACATGATTTTTAGATATGCAGTTACAGTGGGGCAAAAAAGTATTCAGTCAGCCACCGATTGTGCAAGTTCTCCCACTTAAAATGATGACAGAGGTCAGTAATTTACATCATAGGTACACTTCAACTGTGAGAGACATAATGTGAAAAAAAAATCCATGAATTCACATGGCAGGATTTTTAAAGAATTTATTTGTAAATCAGGGTGGAAAATAAGTATTTGGTCAATAACAAAAATTCAACTCATTACTTTGTAACATAACCTTTGTTGGCAATAACAGAGGTCAAACGATTACTCTAGGTCTTTACCAGGTTTGCACACACAGTAGCTGGTATTTTGGCCCATTCCTCCATGCAGATCTTCTCGAGAGCAGTGATGTTTTGGGGCTGTCGCCGAGCAACACGGACTTTCAACTCCCTCCACAGATTTTCTATGGGGTTGAGGTCTGGAGACTGGCTAGGCCACTCCAGGACTTTCAAATGCTTCTTACGGAGCCACTCCTTTGTTGCCCGGGCGGTGTGTTTGGGATCATTGTCGTGTTGGAAGACCCAGCCACGTTTCATCTTCAAAGCTCTCACTGATGGAAGGAGGTTTTGGCTCAAAATCTCACGATACATCGCCCCATTCATTCTTTCCTTAACACGGATCAGTCGTCCTGTCCCCTTAGCAGAAAAACAGCTCCAAAGCATGATATTCCCATCCCCATGCTTCACAGTAGGTATGGTGTTCTTGGGATGCAACTCAGTATTCTTCTTCCTCCAAACACGACGAGTTGAGTTTATACCAAAAAGTTCTACTTTGGTTTCATCTGACCGCATGACATTCTCCCAATCCTCTGCTGTATCATCCATGTGCTCTCTGGCAAACTTCACACTAGGGCTGGGCGATATGGCAAAAATAGAATATCACGATTTTTCCAATATTTTATCACGATTTCGATTTTATCACGATTTTTTATCCATGAATAGCATAACTTCAATTGCGTATTAAAGAAGAGAAACATTGAATAAATAAACATTTATTCATATTAGGGATAATCAGCACAGTGCTAACACACTTATATTTTAAACTCAAACCAGAGATGATAAAAGCCCTGAGAGAAACAATTACAAAAATCAGTTTTTCTCGTTTTTCAAGTAACTTAACATAAATTAAAATCGTAAACATATTTTAAGTGCAAACATGTCAATTGCAAACGTATTGTGCAAACATTAACTTGCTCAAAATACTATGTAGCTCCCAGTTGCTCATGTAGTGGATAGTTAAGCTCAAATACGGCTCTGATGTGCGGCTGGACCAGAGATCGCTTGTGGTAGCAAAAAACTGTGCATTCTGAATATTTTCTGCAACAAGTCTCTAAATAAAGTAAAATTTTCCAGTGCAGATTGGAGACAACCCATAGAAGCACTGATTTGATCTCATTTCAGAGAAAAATAGAACAGGTTAGATGCACCTAATAAATAAAATTACTAACAAACTCAGGAATCTTTCTTTGCTTCACTGTTCTGGTGCTGAAAACATCACTAATGCGGATCAAAGGAGATACACAGATGAATGCACCTCTTATTATTTGGAAACTACATTTACTGCAGCTGGCAGAGGCAGAGATTGTTTCTATTGATACACGGAGTTTACAGAATCATTTTAAATTGTAATAGGGGAAGACTGCAGGAGGGAGCGGTAAAATACAGGGGGTCCCAACAAAAACAAGAAACTACGAGTCTGATGAAACCCGCTGGTTTTCCATCAGGCAGTCACGGGGCAGCTCCAACGACCCAGTGACCGAGCTCAGTCCGGCTCGGCAGAAGAAGTGTTATTTTCCTGCTTAAGAAGAAATGTTTTTTTCCTGCTTCAGAAGAAGCGTCCAACGTGTTTTTACGCTTTCTCCGAGACATGTCACGTCGCGAAGTTGTTAGCGCCGCGTGCTAAGGAAACCCTGCGTTCCTCTTCGGAACGAAAACCTCGTTGTCGCTCAGCCGCGGCCGAAGCCATGTTTGTTCACACACAGGTGAAAACAAGTGGGGCACTAATATATTACTATGACTCACTCTGATTGGTTAAGGGTCAAACAAAGGCGTGTCATTCGCCTGAGGTAAGTTCCATTTTCATTCAGAGGCAGAAATTCAACAGCAGAGCTGTGAATCGTGATAAAAAGGTCTCTCAAAAATGACAGACCGTCAGATGTGTAGATCGTAAAACGGTCTAAAATCGTCATATCGCCCAGCCCTACTTCAGACAGGCCTGGACATGCACTGGCTTCAGCAGCGGAACACGTCTGGCACTGCAGGATTTGATTCTCTGCCGTTGTAGTGTATTACTGATGGTGGCCTATGTTACTGTGGTCCCAGCTCTCTGCAGGTCATTCACCAGGTCCCCCCCCCCCCCCCCCCCCCCCCCCCGCGTGGTTCCGGGATTCTTGCTCACCGTTCTCATGATCATTTTGACCCCACGGGATGAGATCTTGCGAGGAGCCCCAGATCGAGGGAGATTATCAGTGGTCTTGTATGTCTTCCATTTTCTGATAATTGCTCCCACAGTTGATTTTTTCACACCAAGCTGCTTGCCTATTGTAGATTCACTCTTCCCAGTCTGGTGCAGGTCTACAATTCTTTTCCTGGTGTCCTTCGAATGCTCTTTGGTCTTGGCCATAGTGGAGTTTGGAGTCTGACTGTTTGAGGCTGTGGACAGGTGTCTTTTATACAGATAATGAGTTCAAACAGGTACCATTAATACAGGTAACGAGTGGAGGACAGAAAAGCTTCTTAAAGAAGACGTCACAGGTCTGTGAGAGCCAGAGATTTTCCTTGTTTGAAGTGACCAAATACTTATTTTCCACCCTGATTTACAAAGAAATTCTTTAAAAATCCTGCCATGTGAATTCATGGATTTTTTTTCCACATTCTGTCTCTCACAGTTGAAGTGTACCTATGACGAAAATTACTGACCTCTGTCATCATTTTAAGCGGGAGAACTTGCACAATCGGTGGCTGACTAAATACTGTTTTGCCCCACTGTACTTGAGAAATTACAATTTATTTAGAATAACTGACATCCAGATGCAGGAAGTCCTGGCGCACAACCATTTTCATCTAACTGAGGATTACACAACACCTGTGTCTGTGATGTCATGGTTTGCTTATTGATTAGCTTGTATCATTTATAAAATGTTACACTGTACCAAACACCATCCAACAATTGGCACGACTCTTCAATCTAATAAGTGAAACAGGAAATCCACAGCAGCACTAGCAGCCTGTTAATTTCTAAAGGTAAAGGTGCACAACGTAAGAATGACACCCTGTGGTTAAACTTGGGCACTACAGTCCATTTAAAAAACACAAGTGACTTTCTGACTACCGTTCTGACAGTTTCATGGCTGTTGCCAGTTACGGATCAGCACCAGATGATTCTAGATAACAAGCAAAGACGAGTCATCAAAAGTAAGTTGATCAGTAGATAAATACATTTCACTGTAATATAAAGATTTTGGTGATTGAAAAAGTAGCTTGAGATATTTTTTGAGCCGACTATTTGTTTCTAATTCACCGTTAACATTGTTAGCTCAGTGTTAGTCTCTAGCCATCTTTATCCGATATTAGAATAAAACAAAAAGGTGCTGTGGCTTCTTAGGAGTATAACAAATAACTTCTAGGGCACTCCTGTTACTGGCTAACATACTGTCCACAACTCTGGGGCTTTTTGCCAGTGTCAAATTACAAATGTCGGTCCTGCAACGTTAGCTGGAACAGACTTGGGAACCCTGGGAGCTCACAGACTGTTAACAGTGACTTTGGGAGCTCACAGACTGTTAACAGTGACTTTGTCCATTTTCAGCTTTTTTTTTTCTTTTTCTTTTTTTTTTTACACAGGAGAAAAGCTAACCTCCACCCACTCAGCTGAGAAGGAAATCAGTTTCAGTAAACCTTCCTTCCAACATGAATGAATCGTTAAACTGTTTAGTGATCATTTCAGTATAGAATTGTTACATATTGTTTGTACCTTTGGTGTATCATAAGGTGGTGCAAATGCTTGCACAATATGTTTTTTGATTTAAGTTGCAGCAGGTTCCTTTTGTGATCAATATGTAGTTTAACATTTACATGGAAAAATAAAAATAATCTGATCAAATCTGATTACAATGTAACTTACTATATTGTACATAAAGTTGAACATTTATAGAGCTTGAAAACCCCACTTAAAGCTGCTAAAACACTGCTTTTGTTTCTATCGTAGAAAAGTAAAATGGGTCACCGGGTGTTAACTGTTCTTTTTTTAACAACTGTGTCAAGCTGAGCTTTTATGCTTTTAGCCTGGAAATCTAAGGTCTTGAAGACCCGGTCATGGTCAAGTTGAAAGCAAGCTTTTATCCCCATCTGAGTCCCAATAGCCAGCCTCGCAGCATTCTCTCCTCCTGATCAGCGGTGAATTAACTCCCCATCAGCTCATGTACACACCTGTCCCTCGTGGCCTGCTGCCATGGCAACCCAAGTTCATCTTTTTCCCAGACAGCACGCAGCCAGATTTTCAGCTTCCATCCTCCCTTTCATTTTATGCGAATCCATTACTGAAACAAAGCGAGACGCAGTTGTGCTCCGACACGCTCGGATAATCCCTACTCCCACTCCCTTCACAAATCCACAAACAAAAAATGGAAAATATGCACACACATCCGAGCAGGCAGATGACAACAAAATTATCCATCAACAGCGCTCAATGTATAAATGGGCAAAGTCATACATACATGAATGTGGAACACACGTGTGGACAAACAAATTCACGTTAGATTTTCTCATCAGGAGCCTCTTAAGGACGAAGAAATGTATCTGAGTGAACTAGATCTAATTTGATGTAATCGGTGTGTACAGTTGGCTAATTCACACTTAAAAAGGAAAAGGAGTAAAAAAAATAATAAATTATCAACTCCCGACTTTCAATTACACAAGTGGTTTAAAAACACTTTTGTGTTGGGCGTGTTGCTTTCACAAAGCAGCCAGACTGCTGCAGACACAACCCAACACACTGTTGATAATACGCCTGGTTTCACCCTTTTAGTGAGTGAATGGATTTGTGATGCAGGCCCTGACATGTCGCCGTATGAGAAAGATCCTAAAAATACAAAGTGGAAAACGCTGCCTCATCCAGTCCTACAACAAACACAGCGCTGCTTTTCTGGAGGTTTCTGTCAGCCTCTTGAAACCTCCAGTTGATTTTAGATTTGACACGAGCGTCTGTTACAAAGAATCTGCACGCAGCAGCTGGAAGGCAGTTTAAACGTTTATCTGGTTGAAAAATTTCCTGTTACAGATTAGTTATTCAACTCAATTCTAAAACCGTCTTCTGCACCACACAAATAAAATCTTCATGGTCTCAGAATTAAAATCTAGATGTTTACTTATTTCCTCAAAGTCACTGATATATGAAGTAATTTTATATTGAACATTTTTATTCATTTATTGGAGTTTCACAACTTCTACAAAAAAAAAAAAAAAGAATCTCGTCTCACCTGGTGCAATAAGAGGCTGAGCACTGACAGCGGTAACGCTGCGGCTCATATTCAGAGCTCGAACCTCAGTGACTGCTGCACCGTCCCCCTTCTTCCCTCCATCAGTGGAGCCGTCTGAGGGGCTGGCCTTGGCTCCTGTGGAGGTTTGGGTCCCTTGGCTGGGGTTCTTGGTGTGTGAAGCAGGCTGAATGGGCACTGGGCTCTGCTTCAGAGTGAGAGCCTGAGGGGTTTGAGTTTGAGAGGAGGATGTGGCCGCCCCCTGCTGGCCACGGATGGCCAGATTCTGGACCTGGTTCTTATTGACATGGGGGGGGGGGGGGGGGGGGGGGGGGGGGGTTAAGTGTTATTCTACAATTATTGGACAAATGTGACCACAATCCCCAGCATTTAATAATTACTCATCAGCCTATGCAAAGTTTGGATTTGCAACGACAATTACTTCTTTCTGTGATTATATAAAGGAATACCTGTGAGGAGGCTTGTGTGGAGCTCTCCGACTGGACAGCTGTGACTGCAGCAGCTGGGGTGAAGATGAGCTGCGAAGACAGAGGAACGGCTCGGCCCAAACTCCTGGCCACCTGAAACAGGTATGAAAGATTTAAAAAAAGAGCTGAATGAGTAAAAAACAGAATCAAATCATAGGAAAAGTGGTAAAATTAAAAAAAAGCCTAAAGCTGATTCACTGATTTTTTCATGAGTCTGACGTGGTCTCTAGAATAAACGAATGCCTTGCGAGTCATTCTCTGTGAGGAAAAAAAAGCTCTGGTGCTTCTGTTTCAGGAAGCAGAAGTTAGCCGGAGAGGGAGGCAGGATTTGGATCATTACTTCCTGATATTTGGACATCTCACCTTTGATTGGATAACAGCAATAAGACTCTACCACTGACTCTGTTTACTCTGCAGCGTTGATGTTTTATCTCCACAAATAACACAGGTCTGAAGGAGTTCTGCCATGTGGTGGAGTTGCTAATGCTAACAGTTAGCTTTTACTAGCCGAGACGCACTCTGCTCTCTCCTGGACGATAAACCAACAACAGTCTTCCCCCATCGTGAGCCAAGATGGGTGAGTCCATGAATGTAATTTCCAGTGTTGGTTTTCCTGGCCCAAGGGTTACCTTGTCATTTTTGGTTTAGTGGCTGATGCTGGTAATAGGAGTAGAAAAGTATAGCCTGCATGTGAAACTCAAGAGTGACCAATCATATTTCAAAAATAAAATAAAACGGTTTTTCAGTGAACTCGGTCTTTAAAAAAACCCTTCATCTGTTCTAGACGGAGACAAGTTTGTTTTGTTTCTAAAATTAACAGACATCGACACCTACCACTTCCTGTTGTTGGACTATATACAAAATGTAATAAATAAACATAGCAGGTACCTTGTATTTACACATTTATAGTGTTTTTAACCACAGCGCTGAAGGGATAGTATGATTTAGGCAGACGTTATTTACTCAAGTATGAATGTGTTTGTGTTGATACTAGGGTTGTCATGGTGTGAAAATTTAACCTCACGGTTGTTGTGACCAATATTATCACGGTTTTCAGTATTATCACGGTATTTTTTTTAAACGTGTTACATTTTCAGACAACTAAATAAACCCTGTATATCAGGAAAATATTGTCCTCGGTTTGTGTCTAAAATTTGCCTAAAATTAGTTATTTTGTAATTATGTTGTTTGTTTACATTTTTCCCCTTTATGGGCTCGACACACGGGAGGCGACAAACGACCGCATTCAGCGAAATTCGTCGCTGTCGCTTTTATTACCTGACACACGGGAGGCGACCCGCGGCAGGGGGCAGCGGCAAAACCGTCTACGCGTTCTGTGCCATGGCGAAATTGAAACTTCCGTCGTTTTGTTTGGCTGTGTCAGGTTGGAGGGAATTAAGGTTATTTAAGCGGTTCAGAGTTAATAAAGCGGTAGATATGATGTTTCACAAGATGCTGCTAGAGTTGTGTGAAATCTTACTTCTGATTTTACTATATAAAACATAATAATAATCAATTTCTCCTTCATGTTTGCTCAGAGATGTACGGAGCATCCTGTCCGCTCATTGGTCAGTGAATGAAACCTCCCTTGATTGGTCCTCGTCCGAGCGACAGCGATGAAAAGTTGAAAATGTTTCAACTTTCTGGGATCGCGTCGCTGGGTCGCCTGTGCACGACACGTGCACAAGCACTAAATTTCACACGCACGTTTTTCGAGTTTCGCTTGGTAGGAGGGAGACCCGCGATTATCGCTTTGTTGCGCATGTCTCATTGAAAATGAATGGAGGAGAGGCGATGTCGCCTCCCGTGTGTCGAGCCCATTAGTCTTTAAAATACCAATATTTGCCCATAACTTCTTATTTTTTGTCTGTCTGATGTCATCATTTTAAAAATATTAGATCAGGTGATACTCAGTACTCAAGTAGCCTTCTAATCAGATACTTTTTTTTTTACCCTTACTTGAGTAATAATCCCTATATCAGGAAAATATTGTTCTATGTTTGTGTCCTTCCAGTGAGCTTTGCAGATGTGGGAAAATGTCATCAGGCAGTAATCATTGTTAAATTCATAATTATTCTCAGAGAGAGACCAACTCTTATCTGCCCCTGGGAGCCCCGTAATGCATAGCGTCATTTCAATATGGAGGTGTCCGCGACACGGTTTATATGCAGGTAGCGGCGCTGCGGCTGCTTTATATAGCGACTCGTTGCATTCTCCCTTAACCCAAGTCCTCAGCTCACGCATTTTAGCTAAAACGCTAACGTTAGCTTGCCTTGCGTTGACTGGAGAGTTGTGGGTGATGGTCACGCAGATGTGTCATGAGATTTGAAGTGTTGCTGCCTTTCACAGACACTTTTTCTGCACGTGCTGCAAACAGGATAGCCGTCTTCTATCAACTGTCCCTCGGCATTCTTCAAATATCCAAAAATGCCCATACTTCCGACTTTGTCTTCTTTGAGGGATAATAAATGTCCTGAGCACTGCCGCCTCCTCCTTTGGCCATTATTTCAGCTTTAGCTTCAAGAAAGTTTTGGTTGTAAACAACAAAGTGCGCATAGCCGCCGGCAACTTCAGCAGATGATACGGTGGCTGGTAAGGGTCACCGCACCTACACCGAAGCCACGGTAATCCACCGAGATAATAGAATTTTTAAAAAACAAGACGGTTATTATTATTGTCAACTTTTTTACCGGGGTTTACCGCTACACCGGTTACCGTGACAACCCTAGTTGATACACAGCTGGTGTGAATGTGCCAGCAGGGATGTTCTTCGTCTCCGTGCTCTCACCATCTGTGTACGCAGGTACATCTGTGCCTGACTGGCTGTGAGCGCAGGGCTGGATTGGCTGCCGAGCAGAACAGCTTGCTGTGAAATACTGGTGGGGGTGGAGCTGATGCTCTGGGCTCGGCTGATCAACTGAGCTGCTGCTGGGGAGGTGGTCAGGTTGATCTGTGTGGAGAGACAAGCAGGGTTTATTATTTTAACATTTCTATAACTCTAGTCATATCTGTTTACAGAAATGTTTGAAACAGCAGATGTCAGACTAATCCTGTCTAACATCTCTAAATTAAATCTTAACAGGTTCTGATGTAGGGTTGGTTCTACACAGACCACCTAAGCATCAAGGGGTTAGGGAATAAAAAGGTCCAGCCTTAAAGCTGCTCTTACGGTAGCCTGAGTGGAGCCTGTTTGCTGAGATGAAGTGCCATTTTGTGAGGAGGTTTGCCGGCTAGCAGTGATACTGGCCTATCAGAAGCAAGAGAAAGACAAGCGACGGTGAAGTACAATCTCTTGAGGCATACCTCCCAGCAGCAGGAGCAATTGCCTCCTCTAAAGTGTGAGATTAAATTCTGTGTGATGATCTTTTGCTGACCTGCTGTACAGCAGCCAGGCTCTGCAGCTGGGCAGTGCTGAGGCTGTGCTGCTGGAGGGCTGCGGTCTGCAACATCAGATGCTGCTGCTGGGCGGCATACATCTGCTGCAGGTACTGTGCTGCCGTGTTGGGCTGTCTGTGTAGCGCCTGCTGAAAAACCTATACACAAGGAGACATAAATAGTAATGGTCTCTAATCCCATTTCAATAAGTCGTTTAATCTACACAAATTGTGAATAAAAATAAAAAATAAAAATAAAAGATTTTTTTCTTCCTACGGATGTAAATTTGCTGCCCTAAAATGACTTGGTAACCTGAGAAACTACTTTTTTTTTTAAAAAAGAATGAAAACAGTGGGACGTGGTGGTTACTATAGGAAAAAAGCTCTGGTGCTCTTGTTTCAGGGAAGCAGAAAAAAGCAGGAGTCTTACTCATTATTATTTATGAAATTCAGACACCTTGCCTCTGACTGGATACCAAGAAAGCGATTCTTCCAGCGACTCCGTTTTCATGACTGCTAATTTTCAGTGCGACGTACATCTGTCAGGATTTTCTAATCTGAGCGTTTCCCAGTCAACAATTTCAAATGCAGATGTGTGAAAATTCAGTAAAGATTCTAAAAGAAATTAGCACATTAATGCTACTTTCTATGGCTGAAAGAAAGAGTATATACAGATTTTTCTAACTCAGTGACACCAGCAAAAAAATAAAAAAAACCTAAATATTGGTGAAAACAAAAAAGACAAACATTCCTTCTTACAGTTATACAGTCGACCTAGTAAAATTACTCTGGAAGTCATGTTTTCATCTCTTCAGTTACAATTTTTATCCAATTTAAGAATGAAAAAGGTAAAAGGTGCTTTACAATACAATAGTCATTCACACATTCACACTCTGGTGGTGATGAGCTACATTGTGGCCACAGCTGCCCTGGGGCACACTGACGGAGGCAACTCCACCGTACAGGCACCACCAGTCCCTCCGAACACCATCAGCAGGCAAGGGGGGTTAAGTGTCTTGCCCAAGGACACAACAACAGCGACAGATTGAGCGGGGAGCAAACCTGCAACCTTCTGATTACGGAGCAAGCACTTAACATCTGTGCCATCGTCGCCCCGAAATTAAGTGACAATGTGTGTAGTTTTAACCGTTAATCTCTGGAAATATTCATCGAAATGTTGTTGAAAATGCACACAGTCAATTTAAATTCAGTTAAATTCAAGGACTCGTCTTTAGGATAAACAGACAATATTCAGTCCTTCAGAATTTCAAATGTTTGAAATGCTCATAGATGAGAAGTCTCAACATCTCCCTGACCCACCAGAGCTAAAGCTGTTGCCGTGCCAACAACTCCCCTCACCCTTTACCCCTACAAGTGTACCAGGTCCCGTTTCCTAGTAACTAAAGGATGTGCTGACCTGCAGTCCATGTTGTCACAGAACCATCCGGACAAACACCACGAGGAATAAGGGTAAAATTAGCTGAGGTGGAATATGTCCACCACTGAGCACAAAGACCCAGCAGTCCTTCACGCTCAGCGGGCAGCTTGGTAACAATCCTGCTTGCCTCATAATTGTTAGCAGGCTGAGTCCAAGAAAAGGAGAGTTCAGCGCCACAATGACCCTGCTGTCAAAGCACCACCACAAGTTGAGTGGACCTCATTCAGGCAGCTTTTGTAGCAGGTAATCCTGAACTTTAAGGGTCAAGAGCACTAAGACACAACAGCATTCCTTCATTCAACTTTGATTAACTCCCTGAAACAATTACTCCGTCTCCCCTCCATCCTCTATATGACTAATTAGAATTTGAATTATCACCTGATTTTATAATATAACCAAAAACAAGAATGTCAGTGTTTCCAAAACCACCAGCAGATGGCAGCAGAGCAGAGAGAGGGAGAGAGAAAGAGAGAGAGCTCATTCATAAGGTCTGGGAGTGTCAACATAACAGGCACATAAAGTAAATATCAAGGATTCAGGGTTTCTGTTACATCATCAAGATGCTCACCTGCACCGTTTGCCTATCAGGTAACCCACTGTAAACGGATATCTGAGGCACCTGTCTTCCTGCTGCAGCGCTGGAGCCACTTTTAGTGCTGCTGCTGCTGCTGCTGCTGGAGGTGGTGGTGGAAGCAGCAGTGGTGGTATTAGAGGTACTACTGCTAACAGTGGTGGTGGTGGTGGTGGTGGAAGAGGAGGAGGAAGAGGAGCTGCTGGTGTTGGTGGTTCCAGCACTGCCGGCACTAGAGGCAGGGGCCCCTGGTTCGCTCTCCATGGTGCCCTCTGCTCTTCTCACCTTTGACCCCCGGCTTTTCTGAATGGCTCTCCTGTGCCTTGAGGATGGGGGAAAAAAAAAGAGCATGTGAAAAAAGCAACACTACATACTATCCTTTCTTTGAGCACAATACAATAAACCTTTTATGTAAAAATTTCTAAATATTCCAACATATGACAGGATGGATTTTAGGGGAATGTTTATTAATAAGTTACCGGTTAATAAAAGAGACAGTCATTCCCTCCATACTTTTAAAAGTCAGTTGAAAACATGGCTACTCGGAATTTGTCAATGCAAACATTAATCATCTGGTTTTATCGATATGTGCTTTTCTTGTCGTTTTATCCTTGTAATCTAATGATTTACCTCATGTCTGAATTTGATTCTTTGCACGTATGGAGAATATAAGGAGTTATGTTATTTACATATTTTAGCCATCTTCGTTTTTAATTCTTTGTATGTTTTCTTTTTTAATTACCTTGTTTTAAATTGTAATGTCTGTGCCTTATGTACATGGGACTACGGATGGAAACTAGCTTAGCTAATTCTGGTATATGTACGTCTTGTACGTTCATTAATATGCATTGTTCCCATTCAGATAAATCAATTCAAATTCAAATAAAGTGACCACTTAATTATCTAATAACCAATCCAGATCTTCCAACGTTCATATCCAAACCACACCAGCAAACACTCAATAGGAGTACACAGTGTCATCTATAGTACCATGTTGAGTCCTATTCTACAAATGAAAACTAAACTACCAAACATTTCAACCCCACTTAAAAAGATGCAGTCAGTCAGAGAGTCATTCATCAAATTCAATTCAATTCAAAAATACTTTATTAATCCCAGAGGGAAATTCAATAATAATAATCTACACAATAATAACAATTCAATAATCAGATGATCTCTCCAATATTGCACCAGTTTAAAGAACCCTATTACTTAGCTGTCATATTTAAAAGTGGGTGAAGGAAATAAAAGGTACCTGTACCAAAAAAAAAATTATTTTGGAAAATGAACATTTGGGATTATCTTTCTGTAAGTGTGTGTGGAATATTATTATGTATTTTATATAAGACTTCCGTAAAGATTTCCATAGGTTTGTATCACACTAATTAGTGTGTAAACACAACCAAAGCAGGACAATGGAGCTAAAGGGCCGGGCAAATTTGCACGGGTCTAGTAGTTCTAGGTACGTTTTACCAGAAAATAAAAAGCTCAGTAATTCTAGTGTTAATATTGTATGGGGGTATGAGAAGCATTCCTGCTAAGTGTTACCTCATTTAGACCACAGGTGTCAAACTCAAGCTATTTATATTTGGCCGCAAAATCAAATATATATTGAAACTAGCCTACCGTCCGATTTTGCAGCAAAGACTACAAATCCCATAGTGCTTTGCTATGTTGAAGCAGTTGAAGTGCCCCCTCCTTTCTGTTTACAGTCATTAGCATCCATGCCACTGTATTGGCTTCAGCAGCGTTTTCCTCCTCGTCTCGGACAAACTGAAAACACTCCTCTTAGCTCAGAGTTTATTCAGCAATTTGCCTATTTTGAAGCCCAGAAACGGATATTTCAATCGCTCAGTAATCTGTTCGCAGCTGACAGAGAAAGCGCACCAACCAACTTCCCGACAGAGATGATTCAACTCCAGTTTAGCGACACGCTCAAGTCAGAATATGACTCTGTAGCTGCTGCAGTTTTTAGCTTTCCTCCCCGACACACCGACCCAACTGTGTCATCAAGCTGCTCAAATGCTCTCCATGTTCAGCAGCACAAACCTATGAGAGCAACTGTTGTCTTTGATGTAGATGAACAAAACAACACATGAGTCTTCCCGATGAACTCCTTCCTCAGCTCAGAGCCCAACCCCAGAGATGCAGGTGTCAGGCTGGAACAGGTGAGCATCACAGTAAAACTGCAGCTCAAACTGGGCTTGAATTATTCTGGTTTTAATGCACTTTTTCTGCTCCAAAGCACAAAAGTGAATAGGTGAGATTTTGCATTTTCATTTAAGAGAATTACAATTTTTTGGTTTTTGTTGTTGGCCCGTGAAAAAATATTTACCTACTTCAAAACAGGAACTTGAAAGACTACAGTTAGATGAATAGAATAGAAATAGAATAGAAAATCCCTTTATTGTCCCTCAGTGGGGAAAGCTTGGTCTCACAGCAGCAATAACATTCATTACAGGAGCAAAACAGGAGTGTAAAAAATAAGAATAAAGAGTAAACAACCAGAAAACAGAAAGACTTAAAAGATTTGAAATATTAAAAAATTGAAAAATTGCAGAAAATATATACATTTTAAGGAATAAAGAAAATTGAGACATTGGTAACAAAACCACTGAACTGTGTTTAATTTAAAATTGACTTGTTCGGGTGTAATTTGGTTATTCCACAATCAGTGTTAATGTGAAAATGAGTTTGTTTCCTAATGAAACAGCTGTAGATACAGGAAAATGTGCGTGTTTGCTGTCACTTGTTCACAGAATATTGAGTTTGGCTCGGGATTTTGTCCCAGTTTTTCATTTCAGCCCAGGGTGAATTTGAGTGTGACACCTCTGATTTAGACTCTTAAATTTCTAACACCTTTTGCCCCAGATTCATTTTTTTAAGTTCTTGTGTCAAGAAAGATTTTTCAGATAATCGCTTTACGTTTTACTCGTGATCAGAGACGTTAAGTTTGTAGCTTTTATAATTAGCATTCGGCCGTCATTATTACAGTCCCAACAGCTTATGCCATTATTAATGCAGTTTAAACAAATATACATGCTAAGCCAAACTAAAGTTAAACAAGCTCTAACTCAAGCAATGAAGCTAATGTAGCATTAACCAGGATAAGTCTGTGTTTAAAAAATGCTTCCACTTAATTAAAGGGGCAGCAGTAGCTCAGGTGGTAGAGCGGGTTGCCTCATGATCGGAGGGTCATGGGTTCGATTCCAGCTCCCGCCAGGGGTATCCTGCTGTTGTGTCCTTGGGCAAGACACTTCACCCAACTTGCCTGTGCTAGTGGTGGCCAGAGGGGCTGATGGCGCCAAATGGCAGCCTCGCCTCTGTCAGACCTCCCCAGGGCGGCTGTGGCTACAAGTAGCTTACCATCACTAGCAGTGTGTGAATGTGAGAGTGTGTGAAAGCATCTTTGGGTGTCTAGAAAAGCACTATATAAGTTTAATGCATTATTATTATTATTATTATTATTATTAAAATGAAGACATTGCAAAGAATCATAAAAATCTATTTACAAAGCTTGTTAAATAAAGTAAATTTAAGGGTAAATTTTACTCATGTTTTAATGCATTTGCAGTGGTCTCTAGTAGGAATGAATGCCTTCTAAAGCCTGAGTCATGCTTCTGCGTCAGTGCGGAGACACGCAACACCATCATCCGTCCTTGCATAGGCCCCCCGGCAGGCACGCAACTACGCACGGAGTTGAGCCCACTTTTCTTAACATCCGTCAAACGAGACAGAGAATGCATGCTTGTGATTGGTCGGTCCAGAAACCTGAGATCACTTCCGTCATGACGCCATTCACCTGTTGTCTGCCTAGATCTGTTTAGCGGACGTACATCCCACTGACGCCGCTGTCTCCTTTTATGCTCTCGCTGGTATTTCAGCAAGATAAGCATCTTTGTCTAGATCACACAGTCCCAACTCGATCAAACTTCTCTTTCTCGTGTTGCTTGCCATTTTTCAAACCACGGAAGTGATTTCCAAGGATATAGTAAGAAGTCATTGTACAGCTACCTATGCTACGCCCTCTGTTGTCCTGGCGGAGAATTGCTTTGCAACACCCCCAGGGTTTTTCCTGGCTGAAATTGAGGCAGAGGTGCTACCATCCTGACCATGCACCAGCACATGCATACTCTGTGCCTTCAACTGCCTCACCTTTTTAAAGGCAAAATATTACAAAAGGCTCAATAATATGCATTAGATTGGTGTTTAGTTCCCTTTTTCCCATCTGATATTTATAGTTAAAAATATTTTTAAATAGTTGATCTACATTTCAGTTGCATTTTAGGTTTGCATTAATAACACTCATCTTAGTCAAAATAACACATAAATATATTCAGTAAAATATAATGCATTTCATTAACATGCATTTGTATGGGAAATGGTAATAACATTTCATTTCTGCTGCTAACAATGTAATGGTGGCATGTCTATTATGTACGGGTTAGGGGGGGTTCCGTTTTGCCTTTGCCCCCAAAATGGCTTGAAATGACCCCGGGTGTGTGACTGAGTTTTGAAGGTGATCTGAATTGTATCAGATGTATAAATATGACCTGTGTATAACGTATTGTTCTATACAGGTAAAAACGTGTAGTGGAGATAAATCTACCTACATTTGACTTTCAAGCTTTGTTTTCTTGTTTTTATTTAACAATTTTTCTGTCCTGTCTGTCTCTCATCTTCCTGCATCTCCTCTAATTTCACAAGAAATCTGCTGCCTGGATTCTTACTTTTTCACCTCATCAATTACTTTTAAGCAGATCAAAGGGATCTCCTGACCGCAAAGTGGAGTGTGCGTTTCGATGCTGCATCAGTGAGGTGAAATCACTGCAGCACATGATGAGCAGAGCGCGTCAGGAAGTTCAGGAACGAATAAAAGAGTACCAGAGGAGATAAACAGATAGGAACGATCGTGTGTTAATAATAATGTTTTGTTGCGCCACCTTGAGAATGTATCGTGCGCCGGACGCAGCGGGCGCACCAACAATCAGCGCTCTGCGTCCTCTCCGCTCAACAGAATCCAGCTACGCTGAGAGTCCATAAATATTGTAATATAGGCAGAAACTGGAACTGGAACTGAAAGATTTCTAGCCCCCCATAATTCGATCCCTGCTCCTGGATGAAAAACCGGACGTTTTGATCAATGTAGGAAACTCCCCGGGACGCCCCAGACAGAGAGTGAAAAGTGGACATGTCCAGGGGAAAGAGGATGTATGGTCAGCCTACAATAGCACCAACCATAGATATGTACCAACTAGCGAGAAAAGCAAGTTTTTATCTTGTTTTTCTGCAGCGGTTTTAGCGCTTTGCGGTGCATCGCTGCTGATACAGCGCCCCTGTAGTGGCGCAACGCTACAACTACGGTTAAAATTACATCCATATAGCTGGGGGCAGAGTGAAATCAGGCTGGGGCGGCACACAAATAGCTGGAGGCGGCTGCTACGCAAATTTGAACGCAGGAAAAACCCTGACCCCTTCAGCAAACGGGGAAGTATGAGAGCAAAACGCTTCCGTCAATCCGTGCGTGTCTGTCCCTTGTGGAGCTGACGCAGAAGCATGACTCAGGCTTAAGTCAGATGCTTCTCGTTGAGGCCATAGTACTCCGCCGGAGGAGAAAGTGGGAGAACACAGCAGGATTTGGAATCTGATTGGCTAACAGCAACAAGACTCCACCACTACCTCTGTTTTCTTTGCAACATTGATATTTTAGCTCCACTAATAACACAAACCTGGAGAAGTTCTGCTGTGTGGTGGAGTTGCTAATGCTAATGGTTAGCTTCTTTAGCTAAGACGTATTCTGCTGTTCCCTGGATGCTAAACCAATAACAGCCTTCCACGTCACGAGTCAAGATGGGTGAGTCCATGAATGTTTAGTGACAGCATACATGTGTCAGGCTTTTCTAGACTCAGGGTTTTTCCATCTATTTTCTATCAGAAGCTAATGCAGGAGATAGGTGTAGGAGACTATTTATAACGTTCAGCCTGCATGTGTCTGATATTTTTCTAAAATAATCGATAAAAATGATTTCTCAGTGAGAGAGTGAACCTGCTCTTTAACACTAAAAAACGAAGAGCAGCAGATGGAATAATTAACTTTGAACAACTGAAAATGGCAATCAGGCAGGGAAACGTCACAAACAATCAGCGTGAAGTAACACCAAAAATGCAGATTGAAAAGACAGACAGACTGGCTCGCTGGCAAAATTCTTTACTTGGCAGAACTAAAGAGACCTATTTGGATGGTGGAAGTACTGGCTTTGAGGTTAGAGGTGATCGAATTAAGTTATGGTGGCTACAAGGGTGAGAGCAAGTGAGGAGTGAAGGCTGAGCATGCAAGGTGAAGATCTACATGAGCTGGACTGGAAAGAGGTTGTGATGGAAGCCATGCTTCAATCCTGAAGCTACTTCCTCCCACTCCTCACTAAAAGAGAACCGGAACTATCTATTTAAAAACAAATTATACCTGAAAATAAAGATAAAATAAATAAAACATTTAGTCTACATAAAAGGCTGCAGACAAACCCATTGAATTAAATTGAATAAACTACATGACAAATATAAAATGTACAAGAATAAAAAGCATGATCTCATTTAGTGGAACGGTAAAACTCAAGTCAGACATTGAGGGTTTGCGGTTGTAAACAAAGCAGCACAGCTGCCAAACCCTGCCTGGCTGTATGTAGTCATTAGCCTACATCCCAGAGTCTGCCTCCCATCTCATCCTTATGAGAGGGGAGAGAATCCCCTCTGGTAATGATAGCTTAAACCCCTGTCTCTTTGAGTGGAGTCTTCCATCCATCAGTGGACGGCTGGGTCCAAAGTAAAACACCCCCACTCCATTTCTGAACCACACATCTGCCTTTTTAAAAAAGAAAGCGTACTTTATAGGAGCATAAAAGCATCACCGTTCAGCACCCTAGCATCACATTATCGGCACGTTAAGCCTCCTGTTGAGGAACATATTGATCCACTCATGCTGACATTAAACCACAAGAACTGAGAGTCAGATTTGTGTAAGGGCAGTGTGCATAAACGGCGTAATGATGAGAGCTGCTGAAAGACTGTCAGACAGACTGGCTGTCTCTGCAGAGCTTACACCACAATGAAAAAGTGCAAAAGCCTCCATTAGGGTTCATCCTCCAGAGTGCATATAGGGCAACTCAGATGACCCACATTAAAAACACCAGAAAACATTTCTCTACAGAGCTAATAAACCTCACGTCTAACAGCTTTAAAAGCTAGAAGACCTACAGAGTAACGTGCCTGTGTGTCTATATTTGTTTATTAAGAGAGATTTTGGTGCCGAGACAAAGCCCCCCCATCCCTTATGCTCCCTACCTCCTTCGACACCCCCAACGCGATGCAGGGGTATGATGCCCCATCCCCCGGGAGCGTGCTGTCCTCCAGCAGGATGCTGTTCCTCTTTGTCTGTCTCACTGAGTGGCTGGCGTGCTGAATGAACGAGTGAGTGCGTGCGAGGGTGTTTCTGTGCTATATTCAAACCCCCAGCCCCTCTCATCAACCCCCAATGCAGTGAGCTTGTTCTCCCAGCATCAACACCCACATCTATCAGCCTCCTGATTATGTGGTATCCTAGCGACAGCCAACGGGGTGCTTATGGAATCCCCGTGCAGAGCAGCACGATGATTGGTCAACGGTCTCCTCTCTAATGAAGATGATGGTAATGATTTTATGCTTTCCCCCCTTTCTGATCTTACCTGCTTATAGACTTATTTTAAATGCATAGACCCTTTAACATGTGCTGTGTTCAACTAGCATTACACATTTTTAGCCTAGAATTAGAATAAGTTCTGAATTTGCTGTCCATGAGGGAAAAAACCTTAGTTTTACCTGCTGATCAATGGCTTTCAGCACAATGAGCAAAGCTGACTTCTACAAAACTATCTGTTTCCTTAAATCAGCAAGTGTGTCTAACACCTGAACACTGAATAAAGCAGCCAACAAAACATTTACAATAAAAACAACATTTGTTCAAAGCCAAGGTGTTGTTCACTGAGACATTTTTTAAATTATTATTTCTCATTATAATGAGTCAGAGTTTTTCACTCAGGCTGAACATGAAAATAGTCTACTACACCTATCTCCTGCATTAGCTTCTGATTAAAAAAAAATAGACGGTGAAACTCTAAGATTAGAAAATCCTGACAGATCTACGTCACACTGTCACTTATCATTCATGGACTCACCCATCTTGGCTCACGACGGGGAAGGCTGTTGTTGCTTTAGAGTCCAGGAAACAGCAGAGAACATCTCAGCTAGTAGGAGCTCATATTTGCGTTAGCAACTTCACCACACAGCAGAACTCCTCGAGGCTTGTGTTTTTTGTGAAGATAAAAATATCAACGTCGCAAACTAAACTGAGTCAGTAGTAGAGTTGTGTTTGTTTTAGCCAATTAGAGGTGAGATATCCAAATATTAGGAAGTAAGAATCCAATTCCTGTCATCTGAAACTCTCTTCTGATCTGGATATCTTCTAGATCTTAAAAACTGACACACCAGGGGCCTCATTAATCAAGCTTGCTTACGCACAAAACGGGGTCGGAAAACTGCATAAGCAACTTTCCACGCAAACTTAGCGGAAAAATGTGCGCAACTTTAAGTTGACTAAGGACCTGGCTTATGCACATTTTGAACATGGAGAGCACCTGCAGTGCTGCTGCTGAGAAGGATAAAATTATGAAATCCTGCAGCATCATCACTTGTACTGCTTCATTTTCACACAGAACAAGACCCCCCACACGCACACACACACACACACGCGTACAAACACAGGTGCGCACACTCACACACACACGCGCACGCACGCACACACAGCCTGAAGCGCAGAATTCGGACAGGGGGACAGATTGAAACAGAATGTCATGCGTCTGTGACAGTGTGTGTCCTGTCACTGAGACTCGATTGATGCGCCTTGGCTACTTGTACAGGGGAGATCTCCATTTGGGTGACTGGTTAGCGCGCGTGACTTTCACCTGGTAGTCTGGGGATCGAATCCCAATTGGACCTTTTTTTTTTTATATCCGCCACAGATCTCTCTGAAGAATTGACAACATTGACGGCTTCAGCAACGCTGTGCCACTCCGTGGATTTTCTCTTATTTGTTTTGCAAAAGCACTTCCTTTCATTTCTTCACCTCACCCACAAGTACCTCAATTTCTGCTTCTGTGAAATTGCGCTTCCTTGATCTGCCTTGATCTACGGTCGCCATCGTCATTGGCGGAGTGCTGCAACAGCTGGCTATGTATATGCATGAGATCCACAAGGCACTTTGCATCGACTATTTATGGCAGTAAGTGGGTGTGGTGAGGGTGGGATGTGACTAAAAAGCAGCTGAGAAACACTCTCGTTAGTCTCTGATTTAAGAAGCGGAGATTTCATGCAGCTGTGCGTACTCCATGTTTGATAGATCACAAACCTACTTGGCGTAAGTAAATTTTTTTTGCTAAGCTTAAGTACGGTTTTAGTAAGGATTCTATGGAATGTTTGATGAATGAGACCCCAGGGCTTTTCGTACCCAGAGTACGACTTACAGGCATTCATTCCTACTAGACACCACTGCTAATGTATTGATTAACTCATTCACTGCCAATGACTACTAAAGTCATCATTTGCATGTTTTTACTGCGTGGGCGTCGGAACAAGCCCCCGCACCGTGAGAACAAACATCCCAGCTCTAAAGCCGATCTTCATCCGTGTACGTCACATGTCACATGATCAGGAAGCAGAAAATCCATGTGTTAGGAGATCGTTTTGGGCCGCTACTGTAAAAAAAAAGTGAGGCGTAAAACAGAAAAGCTTCTGCCGATCACAATTCGACAACGGATTATGAAAGGACGGATAACACTCGAAACGTGCGGATTCTTCCTGATGTAGGAGGTGAGTCTCCACTTTGTTTTGTTTTGGCGTAGACATCATCCTAGCGCGCAATGTTCTGTGACTCTTAAAAAAACAGTAAAACGCTGAAAAACACTGGCAGCGAAGGGCTTTTCTGATCGGCAAACGGCTGGCAGTGAATGAGTTCAACAAGTGAACCACACCTTTAAATGGTCTCATTCCAGGGTTTTTCCTGGCTCAAATTGAGGCAGAGGTGCTACCATCCTGACCAAGCGCCAGCTCATGCATACTCTGTGCATTCAACTGCCTCACCTTTTTAAAGGCAAAATATTACAAAGGCTCAATAACATGCATTAGATTGGTGTTTAGTTCCCTTTTTCCCATCTGATATTTATAGTTAAAAATATTTTTTAATTTTTGACCTACATTTCAGTAACATTTTAGGTTTGTATTAATAACACTCTTCTTAGTCTAAATGACACAGAAATATATCCAGTAAAATATAATGCATTTCATTAACATGCATTTGTATTGGCAATGGTAATAACATTTAATTTCTGCTGCTAACAATGTAATGGTGGCATGTCTATTATGTATGGGTTGGCAATAATCCAGTTCAAATTATGTTCAAAGATAGAAGCGTTTGTGAATTATATACTACAACAACTTGCCATACATCCTGCGCCAGCAGTAATGTGACTCGTATCTGCAGCGGTTCTGATCCATAGCGCTGCAGGATGCAGAATAAACAGGATGGTGGGGACTTTTCATCCGCTTGTAGAGTTTAGTCTTTTTTAGTTTTACGATCATCACATTTTTTTCTGTGCGCCGCTCAATCGTGAGACTGCTACCTGTTAGCTTTAGCATTAGCCCATCTGCGTGTAGCTGCACTTTTGATCCCAAACTTTGGACCGGTTCTACCTTTGTCGGTTCCTTTACTTTCCTCCGCTGCATCCAGAACCACACTGTACGCCAGTAAAAAGCATTTTTCTTACACATAACTTACTTTTGTTCAATAAAGTTCTGGGGAAAATAATAATTCAAAGATGTTGCACCAGTGCTACATTTAAAAATAGACAGACACGCACAGACGGTATTTTTCGTCGCACTGTACAGCCCTGCTCTGATATGGAAGAGCCTGGGGGAAAATCAGGACGTAAATAGCACGAACCATAGATTTGTAACTAGCGAGAAACAGTGGCGGCGCCGGGGGGGGGGGGGGGGGGGCTATAGCTACTCCTGGATTAGTCATTGCGCCCCATAGCACCCCCAAGTAAATATTAGACTTTTTTTTTTTTACAATTTAATTTTAATTTAACGTGTGGATGTGATAATATTTAACATACAAAACAAAAATAATCAGTAAATTATCATATAGATAGTAAAAACTTAAACCAAAACAGGAAATTGATGTTAACCTTTGACCTCATTTTCCACCTGCGAACGAGTGAAAGGTAGAGCTAGTGGTAAAACGGATCGGTTTTTGTTGCCCAAATTTCCATGGGTTCAGTCAGAAACTAATTAATCTTTGGAAGTGATCTCAGACCCACAAAAACCTACGGATCTGGATGAAGAGAGTCAACCCTCAACCACCGCAGCAGTCGAGAGTTTTGCCGCTGGAAATGCTAACACTAATGCTAGCTAACCTTGCAACACTATAGATGGTTTTCTGTGTGGCTGTATGTGTTTATGATTTCATGGAAAAGTCAGCGATTGTTCATATGTTTATGATGTATATTAATGATTGTTTCAGGTGTTGTTGAGGTTTTGTGCACGCAAGTGTATCTGCTAGTGTTGAAGGTGTTTTAGAGAACAATAGGTACGCATGACCACTTCCTTCATAGCACCCTCAATAAAAAGACTAGCTCCTTCATAGCACCTGCAGAAAAAAAATTCTGGATCCGCCACTGGCGAGAAAAGCTATGTTTGATCTTTTTCTGCAGCGGTTTTAGTGCTTTTCGGTGCACCACTGCATATACAGCACCCCTGTAGTGGCGCAACGCTGCAACTGCAGTTAAAATAACATTCATATAGCTGGGGTCAGAGTGAAATCAGGCTGGGGTGGCACAAAATCAGCTGGAGGCGACCGCCACGCAAATTTGAATGCAGGAAAAACCCTGCAATACTTGAGGTGCATATGCATGCTAAACGTGAAAGTTTTCTTCAACTGCATTAGCAACAGAAAGGCAATAGACCGGAAAAGGATTAGGTCAGAAAGAGTCAGTTGCTTCTATGTCACAGAGGAAATATGCATTCATGGCCCCGCCCAGCGTGGCTTGCAACTAGGGCTGCAGCTATCGAATATTTTTGTAATCGAGTACTCTATCGAATCTTTTTTTCGATTAATCGAGTACTCTAATAAATTACCCTTTTGTGTTTGTAAACCATTATATCAAATAGCATGTTATAATTATGAAAGACCTCTCAAAATGCGCAAGCAATTGCCAGTTATTCTTCAAGTTTTATTCAAAATTAAGTTTGCAAAACTTCAGCACTTCAACTTTACTTCACAGTAAACAAATGCGTGTGCAAAAAATAAGTAAACAACCTGAGCCGATTTTCCCCTCGTGCGAGAATCTGCTAGCCTGCAAGCCAGACAAAAACTAGGATAACGCTGCGAGCGGCTGCGGCCCAAACAGAACCAGAACCGCTCACGGCGCAAACAGCTCGCCCCTGTTTCCTTATTAACACACGTCCGTTTTAATTTCTACACTTTTTTTTCTCACACAACAAGGATTGTCGAAAGCATGTTTGCTGTGGTTTTGGCAAATTATACTGATCACACAACATTTATTTACTTTCTTTCGTTTTCCTCCGCCACTCATAAATACCCGTGTCCTCCTGCAGCAATCCCGAGGGACAACAAATATCAATAACAACACAATAAAAAGTCCGACATATTGTGTAAAAACTGCTATTTTTTAGCACATTTTAAGTCCGACGTGTTGCTACCTGCAGATGTAAGGTGTGAGCTGAAACTGAGTGCTACAAACGAAAAAGTCGCACAGTGTCTGCAGAATATATAGAAATACAGGCTAAAATGCATTATCTTGTGGAGGCTCCGATTCCGCTTGCAGAAGAGACATTTACAGGTGCTGCAGCACGGAGGATGTGGTGTTGTGGTAGGCTAAATCCATTTTACAGTATTTATACTGGACTACGTTTTCCACCTTACGACGTGAAAAATGGTTCCACAACTTTTACATTTTCTGTCTTTTTCGCACTCCACCGGGGTTCAAGTTGTCCGCCATGGCTTAAGAGAAAGTTAAGTTACATTCGCTACTCCCGTGTGCATTCAGTCCAGTGGGCATGTGCGTCACTTATTTCGGTCCGGGTGAAACATGACCCCGTGCGTTTGCAAAGCCATGAATTAATTAAATATGAATTAAACGAATCCTCGAGGCAGAGAATTTGACTCGAGGATTTTTTGTACTCGAATTATTCGAGGTACTCGAGGAATCGTTTCAGCCCTACTTGCAACCAAGGAAAGCTGCATCGATTTTGCTGCCTAGAGAGCAGAGCGTGTATTGGCAAGTGGCAGCTAACCTTTAGCAACTCCACATCATGGTGGAATACGTTCAGGCTTGTATTATTTGAGGAGATAACTTATAAGCCCAAGAAAGAGAAGCAAACAAAGGCAGGGGAAGAATTGCCTTGCTGTTAGCCAATAAGAGGCGAGATATTTGTGTATCATGAAAATTAATGACCAAGATTCATAATCCTCTCATTTTTCATTTCCCTTTGACAAACTCAACCCTCTAAAACAGGCACATTTATTGAAGAAATTAGAAAATGAGAGCTTTAACACATACACTGTAAATTCAGAGTACATCAAAAAGCAGAAAAACGACATTGTACCAGTGAATAAACCTGACTACAACCTCACTGTTAACTGCAAAAACAACCCAGACATCAATAAGACCCTCTGAGGTTCATGTCAGATCACAAGGAAACACGTTTCTGTATCACTTAATGAGATGAAATGCAAAACAGTAAGATAATATATGATGGCATTGTGGCATAATTTAAACCTGTCTTTAATGATATCAGAATTCATTTGTGTGGAACACGCTAGATAAAAGCAGAGAATAATGGCATACTTATGGTCTGCCCCGCCACATTAACACACCTCCCAACTGTCTGGCTGTGTGAAATGCAGCCATTGGAGTCATTTGCCAGTGCAAAGCAGAAATGATTGGGGCCAACCATGCACGAACCTCATTGATTATCATCTTCTCATTAGCATATAGATTAGCTAATGGTGAAGCCAGAAACACAAGCGTGGAGTCTCACATTTGGCTATCAAAGCTGTGCAGCAGAAGGGGTAGAAAAAATAAAACAAATAAGAAAATTAGCTATTCAGCAGGATATAATGTGTGAGAAAACAACATTAAAGATCTGAAAGTCTTTTTGAAAAAAATATAGTTGAAGGGATGGGGAGGCATTAAAACTCATTAATTTCAAGTAAACTTGTGCAAATAAATGATCATTGCACTCATGAGCCTTCTTTTTAGATTCCTACATCACAGAGATTAATTGAAACTAGTCATACTAAAAACTGATTATTATACTCAGCATAGGAAATATTTAATGTCAGAAATTACATAAAACAGAAGCAACTATTGACGATTCATTAAACATGAGTATTAAAAACAGCAAATTACTTAATGCCTTAAGGGGTTAAATAAATTCTTCAGAAGGGTACGTCCACATGTACTGTCAATTATTTCTTAGCGGGGAGTGACTACATAAGATGACACAGGGTGGATGTTGGGTCTGCAAGCCAGACTCATTAAATCCTGTGATCAGAGTTCAAACTGATCTAAATGATTTAAGAAAAAGATGTTGTAATTAGAAGATCTGTCATCCTTTATTAGCAGGATTATTTTTGATAAGTGTTTGGCTTTTAATAAAAAACTAAAAAAGGTCAAATTCAGGCAAAATAGTTTATTTTTTTACATGAGATTATGTAAAAAAAACATTTTTACAAATTTAAAAACAAAAGATAATTTTACATATTGCTGCTAAATTAAATGATACTAGTTACATTTAAATGCTGAGACATAAAATGCACACATAATGCATTAAAACAGTATCCACCTAGAGCTAGATTAAACCAAATGACATATGAATTTTAAAAGGGCAACTTTATTCATATTTTTAATATATTTGAAGTGGCCCCTACATAGGCGCAGCACCACGCTATGAGATCCCACCCACCCGGAAGGGAACCACTCCGTGCTTAGAACTTTGTGGTTTTTGTAGTATGACAAGTAGAAGCTGACCGATATGCCGGGCCAATAATTGTTTTTTTCTATATCGGCCAACATTCTTTTTAAAAGAAGATAACTTTTTTTTTCTTTTTTTAATCAGGCAGCGGTGTGGCCAACTGCCGCCACTACTAGACTGAAGAAAGGACCTGAAGGACCCCAAAACACCAGTTTATTTTTTTTGAGTTTTTTTTTTATATTTGAAGTTCAATAAATATTAAGAGATGTATTTACTTATTTAATTTATATTTATATTGCACACAGTGAGTGTTCAGTTGTCTTTTACAAACAATGTGCTGCTAAAAAGTATAATTTTATATATATATATATATATATATATATATATATATATATATATATATATATATATAATTGTCCTTAATAATTGGCTTTAGATATTGACCATATACAACAAAATTGTTTCAAATTTTGTATCGACATTAAAAAAAACATATTGGTCGGCCTCTAATGATAAGTGCTGTACAAATAAACTTCACACACTTTGCTAAAAATTTGAGTAAGTAAAATAATTTTATAACTCTGACTTTTAAAGTACAATAACAAATTTAGGTTTTCGAAGTCAAAAAGTTCTCTAAACATGCAGGTATTCTCTAGATTTTTGTATCCTTTATCTCTATTTCACATCACCAGTTCAGAGCATTTTGTGTAGGTTCATTACATTAAATCTACTGGAATCTAATTAAAATTAAAGCTAGGGTAGGAGTTCCTCCAAATGTCGTTAGAGCAAGCCCATCCATCCATCTTCATCTGCTTATCCAGGGTCAGCCTATGCAGAGAAGCCTAGCCTCTCCCCAGCCACTTGGGCCAGCACCTCCAGGGGAATCCGAAGGCATTCCCTAGCCAGACGAGAGACATAGTCCCTCCAGCATGTCCTAGGTC